AGTTCGTGTGCTTTAATAAGATTAAGAGGCTATGAGTTTGAAATTATACCTGTTCTTATTTCTCATTCGTTTTTACATCAATGGGTATTACAAAGTAAAGAGTAGAAATTCTGTGTGCATTTAATTTTATAATAATCATGAAGTATTGGTGGGTCGCAGGCATATAGGTATTTTCACCTGGGGCTTTAATCTATACGTCAAAGTTGCCAAACACTTCAAATGTGTAATTTCATAGACAAGTCAAAATATTCAAGTATGTAACTTCCTCCCCCCAATATAAGAAACATTTTCACAATAGTAGGCCAGTTGTATTGCATGAAACTATGTGCTGCAAACACTACACAAATGTAGACTATTATGCACAGTAAAGTATATAGATTAAAACATAGTAGATCAAAGGTAGACTAACAAAATATCGGCAAATCCCTTTTTTTCCAAAGACTAATTGGGACATTTCCACCAGAGTAAGGGCCACACGTGCTTCTGTCAGTTCTGTGTTATAATTTGTATAAGCTTGTATATTAAATCATGTTGTGATGTCAATTAATCTTAGCTCCATTGAAATGTGTATTTTGAAATGTCATTCCCTTCCAAATGACATCAAACTCATAATGTAAAATGGAAAAATATTATCTACAAAATACTATTTTTCGTCAAAAGAGCTGCTTTTTTGGCTCCCCCTCTGATTCAGGGGGTGACCGATACAAAAAAAAACCTCTGAAACATTATATGTTATGATGAAATCTTTCGAATAAAGAAGTTTTGCTTGGTTTACGAGGTAGTGGCTAGGAACTCAAAATCTAATCATGATATTTGACTTTGGCCCTCCGTTTATAAGTGTATGCACCGGGGCCCAGAAACGCGAATGTGTTGTGTGTGCGTGTGAGTGCGTGTGAGTGTACGTGCGTGTGCGTGTGAGTGCATGTGGTGTGTGCGCGTATGTAGAGATAAGTATTGTATCTCTTGCCATCTCTTGATCCAGAGGCTCTTCAGAATTACCGGCCTGTGTCGAACCTTCCATTTCTGTCCAAGATCCTAGAGCGTGTTGTCTTCTCAAGACTATCAGAATATCTTCTAGATAATGATCTTCTGGACAATCGTCAGTCTGCATATCGGCCGCATCATGGTGTAGAGACCTCGCTCGTCAACCTATCAAATGATGTCTTAAGGGACATGGATGATGGAAGAATTACTGTTCTGTTACTACTTGATCTATCTTCCGCATTTGATACTGTCAATCATATAATTATGTTAGATACTTTGAAATCACTTGGTGTAGATGGAAAAGCTCTTAAATGGTTTAAGTCATACTTATTTGAAAGGTCTCAAATTGTTTGTGTTAATGATTCAAAGTCTGATCCTGCTGCGTTGGTTAGTGGTGTTCCGCAAGGATCTGTTGGAGGCCCAACACTTTTCTCAATTTACTTAAGTGGTCTAAAACAGATTTTACAATGTCACTCTTTTAATTACCATTGTTATGCAGACGATATCCAACTGTATACATCATTCCTACCTAACCAAACCAATGTCATTGATACCATCACAAAACTTGAAGCTTGTGTTCATGATATCAAGAAATGGATGAGCTCTAATTCCTTGAAATTAAATCAAGAGAAATCAGAGCTGTTGTTTATCGGTTCTAAAACTGTATTAGACAGGGTGAGCCTTCCCTCTATTAGGGTTGATGATGATGTTATCACTCCATCTAAATCATGTAGAAATCTTGGAGTTTTATTTGATTCTACGATGTCCATGTCAGTTCAGATCCTGGCTGTTTGTAAATCTGTCAGGTATCAACTACGTAATTTAGGCATTATTCGCAAGTATTTAACCCGCTCGGCCACAGAAAAAATAGTTCATGCCCTCATATCGTCTCGACTGGACTTTGGTAATGCACTTTTGTTTCAGCTGCCACAATCTCAACTCTCACGGTTACAAAAATTACAAAATTCAGCAGCCCGTATTGTTACCCTTACTAGACGTATTTCTCACATTACTCCTGTTTTGTCTTCACTACAGTGGTTACCTGTTGAATCCCGTATTGTATTTAAATTATTATTGCTTGTTTTTCACTGTATACATGGATCTGCCCCAGAGTACAATATTAATTTGTTAATGTCTTATAATCCTCCCAGACGCTTAAGATCTTCTGATTCTCAATTGCTTGTTGTTCCGAAAACTAAGAAATCATGGGGGGATCGGTCATTTGCACACGCTGGACCTTACCTATGGAACCAATTGCCACAACATATTCGTTATATTTCAAGTGTAGATTGCTTTAAACATGCCCTTAAAACTCATTTGTTCAAAGCAGCTTTTCAGTAGATTTAGTTTTATTTTCACATTGTCGTTGTTCATTTTTGTGTGTATTTTTTTGTGTACTTATATCTTTTCTTCTCCATGCGCCTCGAACACATTATTCATGTGGAGTTGGCGCATTACAAATACTCTGTATTATTATTATTATTATTATCTGTATCAATGGGTTGTGGAGAACGTGCATACACTGTGTGCGGGTAAGCCTGAGTCCGATGACCGGGGTGATTTTGCAAAGCGCTGTGAGAGGGCCTGCGGTCCTGAAAGGCGCTATTATAAGAACTAGCTATTATTATTATTATTACATACCTCTATCAATATTCATATGAGATAATTATATGGACACATTTTCTGCAGTATTCCTAAGCCTCTTGACAACCGACAACTATGATATTTATTTAGTTAGAAGACACATCATAAACTGACTGCGCAGTACACTGATCTATATGTAAATAACTTTATCTTTTATTGCTTCATACAATATTCGGCAAACTTATACACTATAGCAAAATAGTTAATCATCAGCATTGCACAATATACATTCGTATTTAATTTAAACTGATACATCTGTATCTCTGTTGACTCTGTATATATTATAATGTTAGTTTTGATTTCCACAAATATATAATTCCTTACATGAAATGTTTCATTCTTTCGTTTAACGTCGATCATCTTAGATAACTTTCAAAAGAATTGGTTCTTTTGTTTGATTGGGTTTCAAGGCAATTCAGTCATAATTGACTATTTATGCGGTACGAATCTTTAGCAGTATCTTATGCGTTTTAAATATATTTTTCGGCTACCGATGGACATTTAGCCCCTTGTAAGATGGGTTTGATAGAAATCGTTGACAGTCAGCTTCTAGATTTAGTGGCTTTTTTCTGAAGAGTTTTATATGCCTGTATATGCTACCACGCTGAGAATTTAACGTGGTAAATTATAAGTACAGTAAGTAAATTATAAGTACAAAAGCCTGTGAATATTGGAGTAAAAACGTATATTTCCATTCAAAGCACCCCCCCCCCCTCAATATAATACACTAACCATACCTTACTTAATATATGGCAAGATAAAATATTTATGCACACAATTTTAGACAATATGGTAAAGAGAAAGGTTCAACTTTGCAAGCGAAAACATCACAATCATAAATATGCGATTCGTTGCGGAAAGCTGTTATCTTAGATATCTTCTGGTGTGTTTTTTTTAAGTAGCCTGTTATTTTTTTCACAATCTTGAAGAAAACAAAATCATAAACAAAATCCAGGATATTGCAGATCAAAAGTATGTTTGACGGCAATTTGAACACGTCGGTCATAAAAATTAAAATGCATACAAATAAAAATACTATAGTCTATATGAAGAGTTGATGAATATAGGGAAAGACGACATGAATGATTTGAACCTTGAGGTAAAATATATACATAGTGGTTGTTTGCTCGCAGTGATACATACAAGATTGCTTCATGGAATACACTATTATTACATAGCTAAAATAAATGACAGCTCTTGAAATAAAAATTCAACTCTGGAACTGCATCATGATCCTATATAAAATGCCAAGAATATATTTTCTTGATTACGAGATTGCACACGCTCATTAACGTCATAGTATGCAATATTAAAAAAAGTGGAAACTGAAGATGATAAAGATGTATCACTAAGTTTTAAAAGAGAGTGTGAGAGATAGAGAGATAGAGAGATAGAGAGAGAAGGGGAAGGGAAGGGGGGTAAACAAGGAGAGAAAGAAAATGATAATGTAAGCACTGATAAAATAGTTGTAGAAGTTCAGAGAAAGATATATTATAAAAATGGATCAAAAGAAAAGAATGAGACAGGCAGAAAGGAAGAGAGAGAAATAACCGAGAGCATGGATAACAGAGGAGGACAGATTGCGAAAATATTAGATAAAAGCATATTGTTATGGTTCATTGAAAATGATTATGATGTCGGAGAATTCGGACCACTGTCTTTGGAACATTTTACTTCGATATCTGTATATACAGGTGAACCATTAAACCCTGCTTACGACTAACCTCTACTACTTAAATACAAAGCTACAAATTGTTTTTATGATTGTCAACGACTTAGTAGAACAATGAGTATTTACATGTTCCAGTCGCAATTACCATGCTGCAGGGCGATTACTAGAATACACACCCACACCCAATGAACAAGCAATTATCATTTAAACAGTGAACAAAATTCTGACACTATGTACGGCATATTGAACACGGGTATTAATATATCAAGATGGGTAACCAAGAACTAACTGGGATGGGAACATTGAGACATGGAGGGGAAAGACACTGCGAAAGCATACTAGGATGGCAGAAAACAGAGATATATGGAAAATGTTGCAATCAACCTCCAAACCGGGAGGAGATACCTTGATAGTAATATATATATATATGCACGAATCGTAACACAATGATATATACCCTGAAGATGATATCCAATTTAAAACGTTGGATGGAATGGTAAACTAGTTCCTAGTTTCGTCTGAACAATACTTAGCTATCAGGCTGATTCTTACAATAATGTAACAATGTAAATATCCATTGACCCTTTTTACAAAAAAGGGCGAGGATTAATGCATATTAGAGTAATTACCATCATGTTGGTATCGTCTTAAACGGGTACTTCTACTTCATATATATTTTATTTTCATTTACTCTTTTGAATTAAAAATTTGGAAATCAACTCTGTGGGGAGTCATATTAAGGATCACTTCCTTTCTGGAGTGGAAATCTATGCTAAACATGGAATCCACTCTAAAAAGAGTGATTCGTCCACTACTTTAGAGTGAATTCAACTATACTTTTAAAGGGAAGTGATCCATAATAATGATGACACCTCGAAGAGTAAAATTTTCACTCCTCTACATTCAATATTGGTCAACTGACCAATCTCTCAAACTATTTTCTTTGCTCGAGTATCAAAAGAAATATTCTCCATAGGAGAGTGTAATATAGGATGACTATCATCGATGAGAAGCACGTTCATTGGTGCAAGTTATCAGCAGGTACATCCATTCAAAAAGAAGTGACCATATTTTTAATTCAATTGTTTCAATCTTTGGTCCTATATTTTGTTTTGTTAAGGTACACCCCCTCCCCTTCCTCATCCCCTCTTCTCTTTACTGCATCATGATTAGGTGCGCTTGAGGTCAAAGGTCTTTCAATAGGGTATCCTCACAGGTCCTTGGTAGCGTAGAGAGGATCGGAAATGATGCTTTCATGCAGGTCGATGAAGAGAGGGATGTAAGTCAAGAAGTCCAGGAAGTCTACTGTTCCTTTGCCTTCTCGGGTAAACTTCTCCATCACCTGAGAACAATGATTACACCAATAGAGAGGAATTTTATCAAACAATTATTCACTTTAGACTTCCACTTGACCTATTCCTACATTGTTTCAGATATCTTTTTAGAAAGGTACAGGTAAATGATATTCTATAAGTTAAACAATTGACGTTTCTTTGAGATTTCGAGGCTGTAATCCTCCTCATGATAAACTGTGTCATGGTGTTGTACTACATCTATGCATCAGTTTTAAAAAAGGAAACATCTGGCTATATTTTATTTATTTATTTATTTATTCGGTTTAAAACATCAACACGTAAAGTTCAGGACTCATAATGGTTGATTTACAATGAAATTGAATAGTGTAAACAAAATTGAACCAAAATATGAAATTTGATTTCCACACTTACCAGGTCGGCATGCTCCCTTCGAAGGCCTCCTGCCTCTAGCTCTACCTGCAAGTTCCTGACGGGGACTTCCCCGGGGAAGCCGTGCTCGTCCTCGTCCTCCAGCAGATAGAAGAGCTCCTTGGCTCGATCCATCTTCACATCCAGGGCCTCGAAGTTGATCTTGTTGATGAGTTTCTTTATAAAAGGGCTATAAAGATGATAAGGAAGGAGGCAATGTTAGGATTTTTTAAGAATACCCGCATAAAATTACGCAAAATGTCTTGCATATTTAAAACATGCCAGTCGTCCTTATGTCTTATTTTGGACTCAAACAAGTGAAATAAATTCATGAAAATGCGTGATTTGTTTCTTTTTAAGAATGAGTGTTTCTGAATTGTCTTTCATTTAGTGATAAACTTTTGATACTTGCATAAAACAGGTGTTCAACTTGATATCAATACTATCACTAAAAAGCACAAAAGGGCTTTTTGTGCTTGCAAATCACATGTCATACCACCTCATGCCACGTGTGTATACTAGACGAAGAAAAAAAATTAAAGTGCGCGGAGGTGGAACATGGGGGGAATAATTAATATTGTGTTAAAAATGGTTGAAATATAACGTAAACGGTAAATACGATTATGTTTTTTAAAAAAGAAATGAGAAGGGACGAGTAATAAACATTAAAGAAAGACAAAAACGAGAGTTGAAATTTTCGAAGTAGTGGGGAAAAAAAGGGGGGGGGGGAATCGTTCTTTAAAATTAGAATGACCAGAAAATAATCGAGAAAAAAAAACAGAAGATAAAATAAAACTTAACTTACTCCAGTTTTGATATTTTCTCAGACAAGGCTGCAACAATGGTGAAGAGCTTGAAATCGATCCGACGCCGCTGAGGTAAATCAAGAACCTAAAACATAACACAAATTAATCAATTCTTAACAATTTTAAGCAGAAATAAAAGGGTTTTTTTTTTGTTTAAACAAAGTTTTAACTCGTTACGGAAGTCTCCCTGCCTGCACATATGACATAGCTCTATGCAGTCTTCTAGTTGGACCCCATAAGCTACATTTCATCTCTTTCATAAACATATTTGGTTGCCGTTTCCAACGGTCATTGTTATATACTATACGCTATATTGTAAAAAGAATTCACTTTAAAACTGATCAGGTCATTTACGCTATTGTAAAGGTCACAGAATTATAACCGAAGAATTGGGAATAAATATGTACCCGTAGTAGGATTATTTAAATGTAATACTCACATGATACACATATTGACATTCTTTTTCTGATATCAAGTGGCTGTTGACTTTTTGCAGTAAACCTTCCATGTTCGTCGTCTCGATTTCGTATGGCTGTTGGAAAGAAAAATTGAAAATATGAAAGGAAAAGAAAAAGTGTGAAAGTAGTTTTTATACAGGGTATTTCGCAAAATATTGTTTCTCTTGAACCTGTGGCATTTACTGGAAATAATGTGAATATCCTATTTGCAATCCCTCATGATAGATGATGTCATGCAGTGATTAGTATACCTCTCTTACGCTTCATTAAGTATCCTACCCTAAGATGTGAAATTTTATCCGAAATTTTATTTTCATAACTCAGCATTCTTATGATATTATCTCTATCAAACATTGCAAAACAGTAACAATCTTTCGTTTTAGGCAGGTCAGGGAGCAGAATCTTAAAAAATGACAAATAATGATAATAATTCATGATGGACAAAAAGGAGAGCATACGTTAAAGAGAAAAGAAGTGTGCGAAAGAGAGAGACTGAAAAAGACACGATGAAAGAGATCACACAAGTTATGTGTGTGATCTCTTTCATCGTGTGTGGGTGTGCGTGGGTGCGCGTGACTGTGCAACAGGTGGAAGCGAGACGAGAGACGATATATATATATATATATATATATATGTGATATTGGACAGGATGAAAAATAACGTGTGTGAGAGAAAAACGGATTAAACGAGAGCTTTGTTTATATTATTATATATAACAGAGAGAATGTGACTGAAGATGAAATAGAGAGCAAGAAGAGAGACTCAGGGAATAATTAAAAGGGGAGAGAGAGGGGAGAAAGAGTTTGTTCCTACCTCTTCTTGGTTCATCATATTAAAGAGAGTACTTTGTTTCCTTCTAAACTCTGGTTTAGATGCCATCCGTTCAGATGATTCGTTCTCTTTCATCTTCGTCTCCAGTTCTTCCAACATCTTCGTCTCACCTGCGCAGCAAAAGAACAAAAGTCAAAGTCAAACGCGGCAAAGAACTTTGCAACACCTCAAAGGGCAAGCATTTTAAAAGCTAAATTAAATCAATGTTACATCTGCTTTCGTATTGTTATGTTTTTAATTGTCCTTTGACTCCAGAAGATTGGTTGAGATATAGCTAATGACCATTGCCCCCCACCCCCTCGGTCACTATTCATTTGAAGTTTATTACATGACCTATCGTCCATCGTGCAACGAAAAAATATTTGTGGAGGAAGTTTAAATAAACGTTAACAAGTTAAACATAATCAAAAACTTTTGAAAGCGTGCAATTATATTTGTTGTCAACTTAATGAGTGGATAGTACTGGAAAGAGTCATTCTAGAGTACTCTCGTAGGCTGACTTCATTGTGATTATCTGTTCTTTCACTCGCGTAATGCTCAGATTTTCTAGAATCATATAGCGAAAATGTTTTTGATAACTTAGGATATTGTGTTGTATTACTGTATAGGATACTAAACGCGGCATGTTTTACCACCAATCAGAATTTAGCAGTTACTTGACTTTCCTATTAATAGCCAATTTAAAACAGTGTTTCTGATTGGCTGATAGTATCCTACCTTCTCGTTCTTTGATTTGTTTGTTCGCTGCTTCCAATCTCTCCTCTGTGATCTGTTTGCTGACTGAGAGTCGGCAAACCTCGGCATCAGTCTCGGCCTGTCAAAATAACCATCATCATTCAATTTGTAAAATTGAAAAAGAAAATATTGCAATTGCACAACTGAACTTCAAGAAGTATTCGTCTTGCAATAAATATTCCTCTTCCAATAAATATTCCTAATCTTAACTTCAGAAATGCTTAGAATGCATTAGTAAGTGATGTTAAACAAGTTTTTAGTATCTATCAACAGTTATGAACTGCATACTCCTCACTGTTCGTAATCACAGAGAGCCAACAGACGCACGTGGGTGTATCTCTCATGGAAGTTTTCTCTTTTTCTTCCTCCTTCTACTACTTCTCCTCATTATTGTTTCCTTCTTCTTCTCCTTATCCTCCTTTATTTTTATTTTTTATTCTTCTTTGTCCCTTTTCTCCTTGTTCTCCTCCTTCTTCTTCTTTTTTTTTATCTTCTTCTTCTTCTTCTTCTTCTTCTTCTTCTTCTTGTTTTTCTTCTTCTCCTTCTCCTTCTTCCTCTTCTTCTTCTTCTTCATCTTCTTCTTCTTCTTCTTCTTGTTTTTCTTCTTCTTCTCCTTCCTCTCCTTCTTCTTCTTCTTCTTCATCATCTTCTTCTTCTTCTTCTTCTTCTTCTTCTTCTTCATCTTCTTCTTCTTCTTCTTCTTCTTCTTCTTCTTCTTCTTCTTCTTCTTCTTCTTCTTCTTCTTCTTCTTCTTCTTCTTCTTCTTCAAAGGGGCAATTCGTCATATTTTCCCTTACCATAGCGACCTGTTTGTCCGTCATTCGGCTCAGAACCCACTGGTCGGTCCCATTTTTCAGGACAGGAAACTTGAAACCGCCGGTTGTAGGCGGTTCTGACGGCTTTGATGACGACGATGACGATGGTGGCGATGATGTGTCTGCTTCGCCAATTATCACGCTCTTTGGTTCCGATGTCTTGGAGTCTGTAAGAAAATAAAAGTTAATTTAGCCTTGATTTATAAAAGACTGACCAAACTGTCAATTTCGGATTAGTTTTCAACCTTCCAGCAAATAGGCTGAAGCGTCAAATGTTCCAGTTAAGTAAGCAAAAATAAGTAAAAATGAGCAAAAGGAACGAGAAGCTAAAGAACGTCACTGTGCCTTTATTCTAAAGTATTTCTTCGACATAAAGCATTCTTGACGTTCAGGTTGAAGCATAGAACCTATGATGTGAAATATATTTCAAGCAAACGTAACGATCACTGTTACTGCTTATTTTGTGCCGGGGAACTACATTCATTCCTAAACATCACAACCAATAAATAGCTCTCCCTTTTGTCATACCTTTGTCTTTCTTCTTCTTCTTCGACTTCTTGTCCTTCTTCTTCTTTGCCTCAGCTGCTGCTGCTGCATCCGGGTCCCAATCGAAACGGAATATCTCGAGAAACTCGGTTCGTGCGATGTTTGCGATCGCCTTATCACGAGAAGCTGTAACAAAATCGTTAAAAAAGGTCAATTAATACTTCAAAAATTATGACAAGAACTAAACAAGACTAAAAGTACTGCTTACTTTCAGTCAGTATGAGCTCTAGGGTTAAGACCATGGTGGAAATTCTGCCAAATCGATAACGACCCACCCCACCCCCACCCCACCTCAATAATTTCCATTTACAATTCCTATTTCAAAGATCTAAAATATTTGAACAAATTTAATGAGTAGGTGAGGAAACAAAACACTACGTTTTGCTATCGTCCTGTGTACATCAATAAAACATCTACATTGGTGAAGCTTTTTTCGTCTAGGTTGACTGATCTTACTTTCTAACTGGGCAACTTTCTCCTTCAAACTGGATACTTTTTGCCCTTGCCTCTCCAACAAAAAGCGGCTCTTGTCCAGTTTTTCTTCTACGTCAAACTAAAAAAAAGAAAGAAAAAACAGAAATAAGAATGGTGAGTCGATAATTGAACTGAAATGATATTAAATGGTTACCATTTTTTTTTTAAGACTGAACTGAAACCTATGAGATTCAATATGAAGTCAATACAAATCCTTAAACAGAGTCAAGCAAAGAAGTTGACGGAATGTTATATACGAGCTCTATTTGAAAGATTTGTTCAGCTTGTTTTGTTGGTTCTAAATGTTTTGTAATGAAACCATTGGTAATGATAGACAAAATATTTGGTATCCTGCCTGATACCTCTTTTTCTTGTTTATGAACCTATACAAGATTGCAGGTGATAAAATTACTATTGAAAATGTACCTGCGGGAAATAATAACAGCGTTCTGAACTGGTGAAAACATAGCTGTTAATTAAGGCACCCGGTCGATGTAAATGATAATCAGAAACAAATATTTAAAAATATGATCAATTACAAACAGTAATATAATTAAGTCCACGTACTTTGTCCTGAATTCCATATGATGCAATCTTCGCCCGCAACATTCTCTCCGGGTTGTCGCTGGAGGCGCTGTCCGCTCTGCCGCTATCAACGTCGGAATCTTTCCCACCGCCTTTACCGCCATCATTCTCGGCATCGTCCGCCGATAGCTTCATCGGACTGACATAATCGTCTTCATTGACCTCCATGGGCGTGTTTTTAAAGGTGGCATTGAACTCTTCTAAGTCACTTTTGAACTCGAGATTGACCTCACTTGACCTCACTATTGCACTTCCGTATCCGGATGATTGTTCTGTCATTATCGACCCCGTCTCGGATTGATCATCGACATCGTGGTCACCGACTGCCTTGTTCGTCGTCGTCGTCGTGTTCATCCACTGTCGTAACGTACGGTCTTCGACGTTGACCCCTGTACTTCGGAGATGGGTGTTGAAGATCCGCTGGTAATGGGGCACCCGTTCTTTGCTGAAGGGGTAGTAAACATAATAGCACTTCAAAATTATGCACAAATATTTGTCTACATTTTTCTATTCATCTGAACTCGTTAAAGGCAACTCAAATTTGATTCTTTAGATTTAACACTAATTCTAAAGATCATGATGACCTAGTGGATAAATTCCATTAAATAAAACTTGTCTTCAGAGTTCTATCATAACAAAGTACTGAAGCATAAATCAATGAGGTGTATAAATCAGTTCAGAAACGTATACTATAATTGCACTTGAGTTGTTGATGCCAACGTTTAGAATAAAAGAGAAACATTTCGATGCAGATGTAAGACAAAAGAAAAAAATTCTCCCATTACAACTAACAAATCTATTTAGGTTTCTATCTTTCCAAAAAGTTGTAAGCTTGCTAAAGAATTAAATTGCATTAATCTGTTCCCTAAACATTTTTTTCTGTTTCAATTATCAGATGCTCTCTGCTGGTTTCATTTAAAAAACACTCGACAATGAATATCAATTAAACATAGATAAGAGTGATGTTCAGAACAACAACAACAGTGATACTTACTGGACGATGCAGTACTTGGCAAGATAGTCGAGCGGATCTCTGACGGCTGGGTCTGGGCTGCTAGGTGGATTGCCGCTCGCCTCAACCTTCCGCCATTTTTTCTTCTTAGGTCTGCAAATGTACATAAGGAAATAGTGAGTTGGACTGATTTAAAGTGTATCATCACTACTATAAGCATGATAAGTGATACAATCAAATCGAATCCGGGAATTTATAGAGCGGCAATATCTTGTTCCCTTATGGTGAGACTTGAAACTTACTGCATATTTATGCTCTTCATGATTCACCTGCGAAACAACAATAGTGGCTAGTTTTAAGCACATATACTCACATTCATGTTATGTATTATATGACCAATAGTCTGAAATATTTTCTCCTGGCGATAAGGTTCTTTTTAATGTATCATCGTGTATAATGTGACCTTAACTCCTTTAGAAAAAGAGATAAGAGATAAGAATCCAAATGCCAAACTATTGTCGTGATTTTGTTAGTTGCTTCTAAAACTATGATAAAATATATTCCTTGTGATTAGTTAATTATGATTATATATTCGTCTTCAAAGCCGTTTTGAATTAATGCTGTTTATCATAATAATACAGCATATCATACAGTCAAAAATTAGACCGACATGCATAACAACAGCACGGTTTGGCACTTGCGAATAGATGATGCTAGGACTAAGTCCATATTTTTCGTTATATTTTTGTTACTTGTGTGACGATGAATCTATTTTCTTCACTTGAATCAACTAACTGAAATTACAAAGAATAACGTAATTTAGATGAATTCATCACCAATAAAATATTCAACATAAAAAATTACTAATAAAAGCATGAAAATTACTTGTATTCGGGTCGCCTCCTCCACATAATGGCCTCTGGTTGCTGGGGCACCGGCATGGGTTGTTTCCGTGGCTCGGGAACGGGTTCTTCGGGTGGTTTCGGGGCTGGTACGGGAACGGCGATTTCGGGAAGCGGCGGGAATTGTGCTTCTACTTTGCGAGCTACCGGGAACATGGGCACTTCGATATCCGTAAGCCTCGGACCTGTGTCCGGCAATACCCACTCGTCTGATGGCGGTGGCTGGTTCGATAAAAGAGTTGATAGTAATTTAGTCTGGAATTTTCTTCCATACATTCAATAATTTCTGAAACAATTTTGTTTTATCAGATTTTATTTTCCCAAGTTCGTAACTCATCCAAAATATATAAACAAATACAATAACGATTTTTGGCAGTTCAAAATGAAATGAATCTTAAAGCCTTTCCTTCCGAACCAGAGTGAATTTTTGAATGGAAAGATGATCTTAAGTCATTTTTCGTTTTAAGATTTTGGAGAAAAAAGATCTTACAATGTTTCAGAGCAAATAGCCGCTCTATATTTGTGTTATGGTGAACATAATTATCTTATATTAATGTATACAGTATTTTTTATAAATCATTCCAAGCGCATCAAAAGGTGAAGCTTACAAACAAATTGAGTTGAACAATATGATTATTAAAAATCTTTGTGAACGTTTTTCGAGGTTGCAAACAAAACATGACAGCGAGAAGGGTGATGAATAAAGGATAGCTTACCCTGACTGGCATAGGCGCGGCCACTCCGAGGGGTTTACTCTCTTTTCTCACCCTCTTTGGAACTTTGGCTCGTCGGGTCTTCTTCGGGGGATTGACCTTCGCTTTAGGCTCTGAAGAAGAAAAAATTAAAAAACTCATAACAGTTGTACTGACTGAAGTTTATACCACTGCCTAATCAAAAGTGGCTGTGAACACCTTCCTTTTTCTTCTCATTTCAGCCGAAACTTTGTAATTCTTATATCCCTTTCATACATCGAGACCGAAACAAATAGACAGACGCCAGCGAGAACATCAAAAAATTGCCTTGAATGGCCCAGATGGTTTGGAATCGGAGTGGAGTCGGTTTGGATGTAAGGCTTGGCTACTATTGTTTAACTTTATACCTCAGGAACCCCAGGGTTTGTGACCACCACTGACTTGACTACACATTCGCATATTCACGATGGCAATCCAGTGATTTTATGCACTTATTGGGCTACTAAAACTGCATGTAAAATAACAAAAGGGAGCCTTTAGCAGCTGAATGAGATTTGTAGAAGCCCTAACAAAGCTTTTTTGATTTAATACCACCTCCGGGAATCCATACAACTCTACTTCGATTTCTGAAAGAATATCTGTTCGTTCACATCCTTCATTAAACATCGAAGCCACTAAGGACTAAATTACTATATCATGGTTGTAATATCATGTAGAGACTCATCGTAATTACCTAACGTTAAGTCAACCTACATAACGAATAAATTGAACATAAGTAAGAAGAAAAAAACGCCCCTTTGTCTTAGTGCTTTCTTTCATTAGATCCCTTTGATTCCCAGTTCATGCTCGCTCTGCCGTGTCCTTCTACTATCAAAAGAAAGAGTGCTTCCTGTAACCATGGAAACATGGGATCTTCTGGTGGATAAGCTCGCTTGAGCTAAAGCCAATCCGATTTGTTTTCTACCAAAGGTTTTTGATGCTCTACTTGAAATATATATCCTCTCTTTCTCTCTCTCTCTCTCTCTCTCTCTCTCTCTCTCTATCCCTCTCTCTCTCTCTCTCTCTCTCTCTCTCTCTCTCTCTCTATCCTCTCTCTCTCTCTCTTTATTTGTTTTGTTTGGGGGTTGACGGCTTTGTTTGAATAACTTAGCACTTCTGGGGGGTGTTTCACAAAGATTTTAAGTCGAACTTAACTCTAAGTTGGACTTAAACATTATGGAGAGCCATATGTAGCCTTAAAGTAAAATATATTCAAAAGCAAAAAATTAAGTATTTTAGACTTTTCATAAATTCCACATCGAGAACATGAAATCTCCTTGATGATAGAAAATATGAATGATTTGAATCAACATTTTATGCCTTTTAAAATACCTTTTACAAAATATTTTCAAAGATGCTAACGGCATTCCATAATTGTTAAGTCCAACTTAAAGATAAGTTCAACTTAGGATCTTTGTGAAACACCCCCCAGATTTGCTATACTCAATATCTTCACAGCTAATAAGAATTATGTCAATAAGAAATTATATTTACTGATCACCTTCACTGCATTTCAGAACTTCTCTTTTTAACCCCATGCTCGATTTACCGATATATAAAACATAATTTGTACCTACACTATATGTTCAAAAGAGTAATAGCTTTCCAAGTTCTTGGCCCATTGAATGCTTTATGATTTTAAAATAGTCATATTTCATAACTTATCTAAAGCAAATTCGTTATTTGGATCATCTTTAAAAGTGTTTTTACGAGTACTTTACACATAATTATCATTATTTAACTATTTACGAATCTAGCTACAATATGCATATCAGTTCTATATAAATGCCAGAGATAGTTCATCTACACATAGATATATTTTCCTAAGAGATAAAAACAAGTATGTACCTTTGTCTTTGGATTGAAGGGAGAGAGGTTTAACTTGTTCCGGTTCAGAGGCAGGAATAGCTTTCTGTGTGGGTTCAACGGGTGGATCAGGAATAGGTGGTGGGAGGGGGTCTTGTTTCGGTGGAGGTGCTGGATCTTTTTCTGTAGAAACAATATAATAATCATGGATGATATATAGTTAGATAAACCTTTATTCTTGTTCGTGCTTTTCTGTTAGAAGCAGTTTTTAAGAAAATTGTGTCCAGTGATTGGACCACTCCATTTGACATTATTTGTATTTAGTTGGAATGCCGAATGCACACTGAAACAAACAAAAAACAACGAGATGCTTGTCAGATATTTTCTTTATCAGCCACATGGGCGTGAAGGGAATATCGTTGAAAAGACTGACTTCGTCCAATTATAAAGAATTACATTAGAAAAACAGCAGTCAAATATAACCAGCAACATAAACAGAGATAAATGTATTGGATGTTTTATCAAACCGCAGGTGTATCTGTCAGGTACTGACAATCCTGGCATTCAAATGCAGCAGTGATTTGCAGGAAAAATGGTGCATTATGATTATATTTACCTGGTGACTTATACGGTATAATGGGTATCTTGACATATTCCTTCCTTGATTTTTCTGAAAAGAAGGAAAGATATTGACGATAATATGGTTTAAAGAATAAAATAGCATGTGAACTGACAGTGACATATGCCTATATATAGCTTGAAGATCATTTGCCCTAACCCCCTCCTCCCAGCCCCCCCCCCCCCCAACGAAAAACAGGTTGAGGAGAAAAGAATAGACATGGGGAATGATTACGTCCTTTTACACATCCTTTTCAGCTTCATTGCAATGCTCCATAGCATTATAATTCATCTTGCATGCATCTTCAATGACTGGCGCTAAAATGGTATATTTGGACAGTTTAAAGCCTGGCTGCTCTATTTTGGCCATGAGGTATTAGACCTCCATGCGTGGTCCCTGACAGGTGGTTATCTCATCAAATCCACTCTTAATTAATATGAGAAAATGTGATCATGGGGGACCAACGGGTACCGCTTAGGCATTTCTTTGCTATATAGAGGGCGCAAGTAGCTACAAGTAGTGCAGTACCGCGTTTAATGCAAACTTTAATGAAATCATAATTTATCACCTTCTAGCAATTTTTTTAAATCACAAATTTATCTTCTTTCAAATGATTAAATTGTTATTTTGCTGAATTCAACTCCATTATGCACAAAAATATTAGTTTAGTTTAGTAATATTAGCTATTGTCACACGCTAGGTTAATACACTGAATATACAAGGGATCCTGAGTAAACAAAGGCTTGATGAAAGTATTATGAAATGTATATTTAAACAAATTAAGGAACATCTGTGAATTAAATCTTATCTACTTAAGGAATTACACAAGAAAAGGCAAAGCAGAGAAGAAATCTCAAATAGTATTAACCATCATCTTACCAAATATTGTACAATTAGGAGTTTGAAAATTAGTTTCCCTTTTGCAATAATGATTAGGCCTTAACTGTTTCGCTTTCGACAAAAAAGTTAAGCCAATCAAAATTCATCAGTAATTTTACTGAGCATTGAAAATTGTCATCTAAAATGGGTACGAAATGCATATACTGCACAGTTATTAATTCATCATTAAAGCTACGGTCACAAAGGTTCATAAGAATATCCCTGTTTTTCCATTGTCTGAAAATCGTTCGTACGGCTTGAGCTGTATGATAAAAATGCTTTACTCCACTAGCAATACTGTATTGTCTCTACACATTCACGGGAATGATTTTATTATTTACTTACAATCATAACCAACCTCCTTTAAATATTTTTTTATTAAAACAGCCTGCCACCATGGTTACGTTCAGTATAGGTTAGTTTCCAAACTTGAGTTAATTATACACCATACTCGGCTTACCTTCCTTTTTACTTTTCTTTTTCTGTTTCTGGGGTTTCTTTCTCTCAGGTGGAGGTTTTGTTTCTGAAAGCGTGCGTGAAGTTTCAATCATAAAATACTAATGATTCAAGGATTCAGAACGGCATCTTACATTTTGTACCGCAACAGGTAAAGAATTCTTTAACCACAAGCTCCAGCGAAAATACTGAGCAATGTAGTAAGCAAGAGATTAGACGATGTTTCAAATCATTGACTCCCCCCCCCCCCCCTCCATAAAAGAGATTCTACGATACACTAATATTGCGAAGATCAAAAGATAATTCGAATTTCTTTTAAAGGTAAAGACCAGTTCTGGTCATGTGATTGCATTGTGAAAGAAACGTTGTGAAATCGATCAGAAAGGTTGATCATCTAGCATATAAGTATTGGTGTGTACTGCAATGTTCTGGAATCATTAAAATGATAAGAAATTTGGTAAAGTTACAAGCACTGTAAACAGAAAGATGAGGACTACGCGATATCTATCCAGTCCGGATAGATATGATAATTTAGTCTCCCGGCTAAATTTGCATCATCATGTATTAGTCCAAACATATTCCTTCACATGATTGATAATAATAGCTTCCACTTCATTTTTAGAGAGGGGGGCATTTCCAAAACTAGTCTATACCTTTAAAAATGAGACAATACATGAGACAAAAAAAAGATATATTTCAATGCAACAGATTATCAATACATCTATGATCATACAAATTCTACATAATTTTAACCTAAATTGAAAATCAAGAACAATAGACAGCAACTCAAAGAATGCCTCGTTTAGCATTTTAGAATAATACTCAGTATTTATGAATTTCGGAATTGAAATAAAATGTCAGTACCTTTCTTTGGCTTCGGCGGCGTAGGGTCTTTTGGCGGCGGTTTCGGAGTGGGTTCTTTCAGAGGAGGTGGTGTCGGCTCCTTTGGTGGAGGGGGGCTGGGTTCGCGTGGGGGAGGTGGAGGCGGGGCCACTTTTGGTGGTGGGTTTGAATCCCGTTGAGGTGCTGAAAGAAGAAGTGTCAGTCATATTGATATTTTGACTAAGACTAACCACTTTAAGTGCAATTTTTAACGAAACAAGAACGTAAGAGAGAGTGGAACGTAAAAATATAAATTTTGAAAGTCCTTTTCTAAGCACAAATTATGATTTATTTATTTTTTAGACAAATATACACGGATATCAGTTCTGCCAAAATTTCCATAAGCAAATAGAGAAATAAAACAAATAACTCACCCGCTACTGGTTTCTTTGGAGGCTCTTGTTTCTTACTGCAAAATCAGAACATATAACACGAAATTACTTGTTGCGATCATGTGAATTCATCTATTCAGAAGGGCCCTAATCTCGTATTTCTGAACATAGAATTGAACATCATCTCAGCATACATGTAGATCTCATGCAAACTTTAAACAATGATACAAAATGATCTTAAAGGGAAAGATATAATGGCTTTTTTTCTTCAAATATTTATATAATGTGGGTTCAGTTTTCATGCCATGAGATCAGTATATTATCATTAAAGTTGAATGAACTTCATTTTACTGTTTTCATCATGAAAGTAGTAATCTGTTAATGAGCATTGAGTACATATGCTAGGATATGATTTCCTTGGGTAGTAGCATACACATTGATACAAAAATATAAATGATTAAATATAAGAATGTCGTTATATCCCATATCAAACAATATGACTATATGATTGCAATACATTCAGGATGGCTTTAATAACCTTTACTCCAAGATATGATTCAGTCACAATAAACCTGTCGAACTTGTGAATTTTACTGTTTTATATCAAGAAATGGGTTTGAAATTGAATTAATCAAAATGGTCAAAATACAAAAAACCTCACACTTGCGAGAATAACAATGATCACACGAATATAGGAATGTGATTGTAAGTGCACACTGGACCGGATAAGCAAGATCACGTGATGTGCAACGTTATAAAAATGGGTGAGCTGAGATAGATAACGTGATCAGGTGACTTTATCATGTGACCACACTTTTATTCTTTGTAAACCAGCAGCCCGTCCTTCTATAAAGCGTTAATTGACAGCAAGAAAGCAAAATATTATTTCATTTAGAAGGCATAAACAATTAAGCTCCATTACCAAGCAGTTTTGTGTCAGTATTATCACTTTTCCGTTGCTTGTAATGATTTATTGACAAACTAACAGCTCCCAGCTCCTGCAAAGCACAAATTTTCATGGGATAACAATAATTTGAAGATATTTTACTATTAACAACCGTGGCTACTCTATAGTTGTCCTATCGGTATTAGTCCCAAATTACATTCCGTTTTAAAAATATGGTAAGGTATTGGTTAAGCATTTTCTAGCGGAAGAGATTCCTTGATGATATTTTAAAAAAAACCTGTATATTAGATAATATCTTTAAAGGTATTTTTAAAAGAAAGCATATATTGTGTGTCTCCTGCATTTGTTTTTATCTAGTGGAGGGGACTTTTTTCAAAATGCAAATATTGAGTAACATCATTAAAAAACGCAGTTAGAAAATAACATAATTTGGATATAGAGTATGTGAAATACATTTTGTTTAACAGTGAAATAAACACGTCAAAAGATACCGATGAGGTTATGACAAAATGTGATTACAAAATAATAATAGTGCGGAGGCAAAATGTAGACTTAAAAAAAAGCACGATGATGTTATAATTGTGAATAAATGTTTTATTTTTTCACAGCTACGTGGAAAAAAGAAAACCACATGAGAGGTATTAGATGATTATTAGGAAGGTAATACTATGACGTTCAATATGAAAGGTTTAATTAGTGAATACACACAAAAAAATGAAGCAAAATGTATGATAAAACAAGCAAGGGAAAAGCATATAATGTCGCTTCGGTTATATTTGTATTGCAGGGTTTCCAGTATTAGAAGATATGGGTGGTGTGGGTGCGATGCAGTGCGTGCGTATAGTGCGAGTTGGTAGGTTGTGGATCCATTCTACTCACACTGGCCGAGTTTCCTTCTTCGGTTGCTCCTTCACGATTGGTGTGGGTTTCTCCTTAACAACCGGCTTTGGTTTCTCCTTTACAACCGGCTTTGGTTTCTCCTTTACAACCGGTTTGGGTTTCTCCTTTTCAACCGGTTTGGGTTTTTCCTTCACATGATCCTCTATTGTGATGACAGGTTTCTCTTTTTTAGGAGGTTCTTCCACTTTCTTCGGTTTCTCAACTGGTTTCAGAAGTTCCTTCTTAACCGGTTCAACTTTCTTTGTTACTTCTTTCTTCTGTGGCTTCTGTTTCGGTTCCGGTTGCACTTTTTCTTTTGGAGGTTCTTTAGGTTTGGGGACTTCCTTCGGTTTGGCCAGTTCTTTAATGGGTTTTTCGATAGGTTTTGGTGCGGGTTTCGGTTTCGGTTCTGGCTTGGGCTCGCTTTGTTTAGAATGAAAGTCCGAAACACAGGGATAAGACATAGACCGAAAGAACATGCAGTGATGAATCAAAATAAAAAGTATATTTGGAAAGAAAGAGAATGATTATACTACCTGTATTAATTATCTCTAACTCTACACAGGATGAACAATGCTTGTGAAAAATGTTTTGACTGGCAACAAATTCTTCTTTGAGAAACAAGAAATAGACAACGACAAATCAAAAACCTTTTGGGGTGACACGCGATAAGAATTTTTTACAACAACAAAAAAAAGCTTTTAGTGAAGAAAGTAAAACCTTTTCGGCATTTGGGTAACAAATTTGTACAACCTGAAAACTAGAAATAAAATGTAGTTAAACTGACAAATGAAAACAATCACATGAAATGCACGCTTTCAACAGTACTTGTAGCAACATTACGTTTACTCTTTAAAAGAAAACAATACAAAAGGTAAAGAAACGATTAATGCTCGCTTTTTTTGTTACACCATATTATTTTAAGAAGAAAAATCTGCTTTAATAACAATGACTGAACACAGATTTTTAAAGCAAATAACGAGAATCGATAAGTTGAGAGACCAAGAAAAATCAAAAGGGACCACAGAAAGACATAAACTTAGAGAAAAGGAGGGAGAAGAAATGAGATTGAAGCCTGAAGAAATACCGGGAGATAAAATGACTCTTGAGACTGTACAAGAGAAAATAAACCACGATAGCGGGTCACGTTTTAAACAAAATGTGCATGGACTATCGTCATATCTATATAAAAAAATAATTATTATTATTATAATTGAACGATTTATCATAAGAACACTATGGAAACAAAAGAAAAGGAAATAAAGCAATTTGTCAGCAACCACAGAGGTGTAAGCTGATATCTTGTTTGATGTACGCTCTTACCTTTTTCGTGGTGGAGGCTCTTTGGGTTTTTCGACAGGTTTGGGCTTTTCGACCGGTTTCGGCTTTTCGACAGGTTTCGGCGGCGGTGGTGGTGGAGGATCGGGCTTCTTCGGAGGAGGTTCGCGCTTTTTCGGCTCAATAGGCACCGTGGGTTTCTTTCCCTTCGGTGCAGGCGGTGGCGGAGGTGGGGTCAGCGGCCGGAGCCGTTCGGGTCTTTCCGGTGGCTTCCAAACCGTGCTTGTCGTCTTCGGTTCAGTCTTCGTCAACTCGAATTTTCGAGGCTCTTGCCATTCGGTTTCCTGTCGGGTGTGCTCGGCAAATTTCGTCGTCTGTTTCTCAGTTTTCTTCAGTCTGAATCCTTCACTTTTTGGAATGTTTAGATTTCGATCTGAGGAGAAGGGATCCTTGGATTCAATCACGTTCTTCTCAGTCTTCTTCAACTGAAATGCTTTAGGAGCTGAAATATAAGAATATGGTTCATCAAAAATTAGTCAAACAACCTGTAAACAAATGCATATAGGTGTCGGTAAAACCTTATGAATTGGAGTAGACAGTATCTTACCTGCCAAATAATTACCATTATTGAAAAAAGCTATACAGATTTTCGGATTTATAAAACAAATCATGAAATTAAAAATTGTCAACGATAGTGTGAGCCATAAACATTTAATCAAAATGTACCGTATTTGTCACGAAGATAAGGAAAGCCTTTGGAATCATTATTATTTTAATTGTAGTAATTAGAATACTCTGAATATCTTACGTTTGTATAGATTCTTCCTCCTCTCCGCCTCCTCCTCTTTTCGTATCACCTCTTCTTCCAGTCTCAACTTTCGAGCTTCTTCTAACTGTCGTTTTCTTTCCTCTTGGCGGCGCTCTTCCTCTTTAAGAGCTGAATACCAAAAGAAATACAAAGTTCGTTAGGACAATGGTGCTCGATTATTTCGGGGGAAAAGATCAATGTCTACTGGAAATAACCGTGATAACTGTTTTATTCCATCGTAAAAAATACTTTTTATAAGAAAGGGCGTCAATTATGAGTTTTTTCTTGTGATTTACGTAGTGGAATTGCAAAAAATAAACTGTTCATGAAAACAACAAAGCAAAACATTATAAATCGAACTGTGTTATGTTTAAACAAAACAATGACTCTCCTTTTAATTTGCAAGTTAGAAGAAAAAATTTAACAATTTGAACAAAATTCAGTGATGCTATATTTGAGATAATCATTTATTTTCGGTAGATAGTACACCACAAGAAAAATGAGGGAAAACAGTTGTTTATTTATAGAAGATAATCAATGCAATATGCATAGCTTTGACCATCATGTGTGACAAAACAGGTTTTTAAAACAGTTTACATGTATTATGAATGAGCACTAGATATATTTTTAGAGAAATGAAAATACCATGGTGGGAAGGGAAAAATATGATTTGATAAATGATTTGAAGAATGTACTATAATTCTATAAATATGGTGTTTTCCAAAGTATGAGTGAGAAATATTATGAAATGAACAGAAGTATGGATGAACCTTCTGAAGCAACACGGGTGGCAACCCCGGAGTCATCTGATTCGTCTCTCAATGTGAAGTATTCTGGCCAATAGTGTTTGAGAGCTGTGATGACGTCATGAACAAAGAATGATAATGCAGAGTAGCGAAATGATGGTTGATGATTGGCAAAATGGAGGAGAAACAAAAACAAAATAACGTTATTTCACATTAAAATAAGGTGCGTTTATTATTTTCAATGTTGCTATTTATAAGTAGTTTCTTTTTTTCCGTTAACCTCTTCTTCTTATCATTTTCCAATTAGTTTGTCCTCTATTCTTATTTTATATCTTATCCTATAGTATATGAATATCAGACGCAATTTTTTTTCACATCTTGTTTAGAATTGTCATGCAGTCAATTCAACTTATACAAAATGGACATCTAATACCTCTATAATGTTTAATAACATTAGTGTACGAAGCTATTGCCAGTAATGACATTTTCTTACATTTAATCAAACCGCATTATTGCATTTCATTTATCCGGTGCAATATGACCTGCTTTATCATTTTCGGTAGGGAAACTAATTGAAACTACGACGTAAAAGAAAAAGAAACTACGACGTAAAAAAAAAAAAACACTTACCTTCGCGACAAGCGTAGCAGTGTTCTGATCAATGAATTCGTAGGGAGGAAGAAAGTAAAATGTGTAAATATGGTTTGAGTGGAAAAGAGATCACATAATACAATTTGCTATTTAAGATTAAACATACACGTAGATATACCATTATCTCAACGTCGTCGAGTGAAAATGTAAGGTGATAATACGTTATATCATACCAAGAAGATCCAGCCAATTTACCAAGTGGAAGTAGACAGGCGCGGATCCAGGATTTCTTAGGGGAGGGGGCCCAACTTTTTTTTTTTTTGCTCCCGAAAATTTGAAAATCGCGCCGGCCGAAAAGTCGCTCAGTGGGGGGGGGGGGGGGGGGGGGGGGGGGGGGGGGGGGGTAGTGAGCACATTTTTTTTTTTTGATCCTCAAAAAAAATTCAATTTGCACCCCCCCCCCCCCTTGAGCGCCAGGGGGGGGGGGCCCAACCCCCCAAAAAGGTCAAAATCACGTGATTTTACATGATTTTTTTCTCAAGGGGGGGGGGGGCCGGGGCCCCCCCCCCCCCCCTGGATCCGCCACTGGAAGTAGAAACTGATTTCTTGATTGAATTACTTATTACTGAATTTTTCGTTCGGTGAATAAGTCATTATTTCATGCACACAGTGCACATTAGTGTTGTAATAAATATGACTAATATATCAACACGGGCATGCTCTTTAAAACAAAGTAGGTTCAAACACTTAAAAAATGTCTTAACCTTATAAAATAATTAGCAAAGCTCACTCGCTGTTTTAAACTTGTGTTCTTGAAAGACGAATTGACGGTTATTCCATCTATTTTGTCAGAAGCCAGTGAATAACACAGAATGCTAAACCTATTGTAAACAAGAGGTTTTTTCCACTGCGTCATTGCAAACGCCAATCATGGCTTTGAAGGCAATCAGCATGCCTGGAACATGTTAAAGCTAGGCAATTATTTCAGTAATTCAATGCCATGTTACTTTGCACCCGTCATGTAACAATCATCTTCTAGTACGATGGAACCTTTTGCATGACGCGTCAAACACTCTTACAAGTCTTTGACGCAGTAATACGTCACCAAATAACGCCTCGTGTGCAAACGCAGCAACTTGACTATTATGTGCACTTACGTTCATGCAAACTGACCCCCTTGACGTCTCCTGCCCTGATCTTCTCCATGATAGACAGCGGGATCGGGAGCGGTTTCTCCCGCGGGATCGACGGGAGCGGGAGAATCGGCTGCTCCAGTTTCGCTACGTTGATGTAATTCAACATCGCCCATTCTCCCTCGTCGATCTCGGCATCGTAGTTGCTTTCGATGTCATCATCGCTAGAAGACATGTCGGCTTTAGGTGGAATAAGGGTGTGATTTTGTGGCATGGGTGATAGGAAGAGGAGGAAGATGGGAGAGATTGAACGTTTGAGATGATTATGGATGGAGAAAAATGGGAGTGTATATGCAAGAATTGTATTCTGAATAAAAAAAGACCTGAGTGAAGAACCTAGTGATGAAGGATACAATAAAATGATTTGTTTTTCTTCCTGTAGAGAGAGAAAGTAGACTAGTTCGAGTCCAACTGGAAAAGTTTGAATGACAGACACCTTAGATCAGAAGGGTCCACACAATGTATGAAACGGAATGAATAGAAATAAACAGGTTTCATAGATGATTATGGGATAATGAATGACCAACTCGACTTTGATGACGTAATAAAATATGTAGAAAAGAATATTTATGCATGTGTATAGATTGAATTAATTTGATGAACAAAAGTATATTGAAAGATATTTAAAGCTTAAAATTCTTTGGAATCGTCTTTTAAGCAAGTGGAAATACATAATAAATGCCATTAATGATCATGATTATAAAGATGAAATGTAAACTACATGTACTAGTAGGCCCAAAACCAACACCATCTTCATATTAAGTATACCTGATATACCCGATGATGGTTGAGGTGAACCGCCATCTTTGACGATTTGTCCGCTGTATGGCTCGGCGGTTTGATGGAACATGGTGTAACCACCACCTACACGACGTGGCTTCGTCACATGGACACTGAAATGAAATAAAAAGATACAATAAATAAAGTTTAGAAATCATGACTGAATTTATGCGTACAAGCCGACATTCGGCCCAATTGTGAACTATTTTGAATAGAGGACGAAAGTGTGTTCATGAATCAAAATTAAAGCTTTGTCACTAAAGAAAGAGAAATATTAAAAACATAACATCAAGACAAAGTCATATCCAAAGTACTAAAGGCACTAAATAAGGTACTAGAAAACTGAGACTTCATTTTGAACCCGGGACATTCAGGTTCCCAAACAGCTGCCCTAATACTGGGTTACTAAACCACATTTTGGTGTTTTGCCCATGTACAAGTAAAAGCGTGTCGTTCAAAGTCACTGATGCCCCCTCCCCCGAAAAAATGAGTTGTGAATAGATGATTTAATTTACAAACAGAAGGCGATCTTCAACATTGAAAACAAACTCGTTTATCTTAAAAGGAAATGTTATAACCTTTTGTGAGTAAAAAAAATTGTTTAAACCTACAATGTACAATATGGTAAATTAATAGACAAAACTTACTGTGGTACTTTGCTGAGAGAGCAGCCATAGCAGACTTGAGTGGTAGCAACGTGTTGTTGGGCGGGGCCATTTAGTGGAAGCAACTGTGCATGCTCGATGCCCCCTTGATCAACATTCGTGTCATCCGCGGGATTGTCAAAAATGAATATTGGTGCCTAATGATCGGAAGAAATGAGGTGAAAAATACTGAAATGTGAGAGATGAATGAATTGACTTTTCTCGCCTATGCTATCACAGCAATAAAATGATTCTAATGATATTTAACAATGTTTTCGCATCCATTTTCATGACAAGACCCTCGATGCGCTATTGAGATCAAAATCAGTTGAATGATATCAAAATGATATCAACATAGTTATGAAATATTTCCGAACACTTTAAGTATGATAGGATTTGCGTGGTATAAACACGAAAGTGAAGAATCTCTTCGAAAACTATTGACTGTGAGACAGGTGAACTTGCACAGCTTCCGTTTTATGTACATATTGTACATCATTCTGTAATTATTACATAAAAAAGTAACACATTTAGATACACATGTACCACACAATATCATATAAGCAAAATATGTAGTTTTTAACAGTATCTTTCTATTGCAATTTGTTCTTGCTACATGTAATTTCAAAATAAATATGTTCACTAACCAAATGTTTTAGATCATCAATGGACCTCGATTTCCTTTAAATTTTTCCCAATTCAAAAGAAGATTGAGAAGAAGACTCCCATAAAACATATATCAAAAGCGTCACGGTCGGTATCATTATCAGTATCTCGCAACCACAAATCTTAGTCGATCTTTCTTTCTTCTTTTAAAGAAAATGCAACATTTATTATGAACCACAAAACGTGATTTCAAAAAATCTCAAATTTTATCTCATCATCTTGAAACAAACGAACAATTAAAATAATAATACCTTAATAAAGCTCTTACCTTGACACCAGATTGATGAGCAAGCTCGGCTGTACAGCCGGAACAGAACTTTGGAGGTTGGGAGCTGTCATCCCGCCGAACGGTAGGGGTGAGTTCCTTGGGGTGGAGGCGGGCAGTACCGACGAAAGGAAGATAGTCGGTGCTGTTCGGATCTGACGAAACCGACGTCGACCAGGACGACGACGCTGCCGCGGAGGCCTCCCATCGTTTCCTTAAGAGGTGAGAAGGGTAGCTGGCAGATAAGTTGGCGAAGAGACTGTCGTACAATCTGCAGATTTGAGAGGGGTAGATCAATGATTGTTATTTTCTATTGGAAGCATAATCTCTTTTTAGCATGCATAAATATGCAGTGAAAGAAAAAATAGCTGATAAAGAAACACCGTATTGCAGAATCATTATATATGAGCTTAAATTTCCAAATTATCGCTCTCGTTTTTGTCTTTTTATTTCATTATTTCTCAACCTTAATCTCTCTCCCTTTCTCTGTTTCTTTCTCTTTTTATCTCTCTCTCTCTCTCTCTCTCTCTCTCTCTCTACCTCTCTCTCTCTCTCTTCTCCACTCTCTCCTCAACTCGGTTTTTTAATGTGTAATCCAGAAATTTATTAATGTTGTCGAGATGGTATGCGTTACGCTCTTCTTAATTGAGGACATGGGGGCGTTAATATCGCCTCACCATACCGTGTCTATACCTTTCCCAGTGCTCGAGTTCCTTGCGATTTCTCCAATATTCCCTTCTTCGTATGTACGCATTAAAAGCACGACAGCAATATCGTTCATTTCGTCTACTCTTCCTTGGATTATTATCTTGTGGTGAATTGTCAGTCATTTTCCGGGTACTTAGCACATTGCCCAAAACAATAAAAAGAATCCTTCCTTCTAGATTTGGGGTTGAACCCAAGTTTTCATCAATTCGCGATCGTTCACCGTAAAACAAAACGAAAAACCTCATTGGTGTGCAACGCCGATAAAGAAGCTGATTACGATGCTAGATTAATAATAATACCCGGCTGTCTTTTCTCCTACACAGTCATGTACATACTACATTCCGTGTTACTTATCGTGATGGTGCGATAACTTCAAGGAAATTATTATACTGAATCCACGAGATGAATGGTGTAATCACACATACAAATTCTTCAGCCAATCATTTTATTCTCTGTTTAACGCGAACAACCACTGATTTCCTCGAACATATACAACATCATCAGCCAGAATCTTTGCACCTTCGAACAATTCCATAAACACGTAGGCTATATTCGCTATAATACTAAAAAGACGCAAGAATATAGGCAAACCAAAAATTGTCACATAATTATAGAGTTTAGTGCTGTAGGATGCAGTTGTCATGACATTTAATTATTGAATCACTCTAACGCCTCTCAATTTTGTCAGACTGATGTGAATGGGTGTTGAAGCTTATCTTTGCGTGTTTGTGTGTCTCAGGATTGCAATATTCCCACCTGCCTACCGACAGGCATAGTCGCCTGATAAATTGATTTCTTCAATTTCTGGTCAATAATTAAAACATTGCTCAAATTTACAATGCCACTACTATGAGCACAGCGCGTGAGCAAATCGAGCACCTGTTTCAAACGGAGGCAATTAAACAAAACGGATTGCCAACCTACACTCTGCATGCACTACTGCATTGTCAGCAACAGTCAGTTACTTTAGTTTTTATGACTCGGAAAGCTGTTTAGTGTCATTTTAAAGGTGTTATATTTCTCGGCATGTTTATAAACAGATGATTAAATATCAAACATGAGAGGATGCAAAGGAAAACTACAACATGTCCGTTTACACTAACAAGTGTCAAATTCACGCCCTGTGAAATCGATTGCCTCTCAGCTTTGCTTAAACAGTTATTTCAAACGTCGTAAGTATTCGGAAGGACTTGAAAATATAGAATTTAAGACGTGTTACTTTCCGACATGTTTGCCGGCAGACGGTTAAAATGTTACACATGAGTGAAACACTACAGTATACATTGTCCGTGTATATCATCGGTATAAAAACAATACCCTGAGCACAAACTAAGTCGTTGTTCAAGTATGTTGATACTTTAAGAAGTTCGGTAAAATTTACCCAATATTTGTTTAAAAAATAACATATGCGTGTTTGTTTGGTAAAATGTTACCCGATTATGGTTAAATTTGTATCCATTTTTTTCCATTCAAAGAGTATATTAGGTGAGTTAAAGGAAGGGAGTATACTTACGCATCAATAGGTGGAAGGCAAGCTTGCTTTTCGGCACTCTTCGCGTCCTGTAGAATTATAAAGGCAAAGGAAAATGGAAAAACAAATTTAGCAATCATCGGGCATTCCTGTATAGCTTTGATAACAACAATAATATAGTTTGGATGGTCAAATGAATGTAATTATGTAATCCCATCTCAACAAAAAATGTGCAGTTTGGAATAAGATGAGAACAAATGTGACAAACATACAATGATAAGCGCGCAATATACATTAGTTAAATAGTTGACATCGTCCCTTAAAATAATCCTTATTAATTAACTTGGCAAACATTTAATTGTAAACATTGAAAATATTTATGTAATTAAAATTTATGGCACATGTATATTTTTTATCTCTCTTTTTCTCTCCCTCTGTTTCATTGTATGCCTTTCCTGCATCCCCCTCTCTCTTTCTCTCTTTCTCTTATCTTCCTCATGGCCTATTCAGATCATTCTATAGCATTTAGACCATATACATACCAGACAAATTGTTTTCACGATAGGAAACTGAAATTCGAAAAACGATAAAGTTGGCACACTTAATGTTCCACCGAACGACATTTTAGCAGATTTAGGCGCAGCCTTACGTTGCACTCATTACAAATAAAACACACCAAGTATCACCCTGCTTATAAGAAAGCCTTTCCTCTAACATTCAAGTACTGCTTGTCCTAACCCATTCATGCCAATGTATCAACTTTCTTCAGACAGAGGAAATGTAAATAGTGACCTAAGAGTAAAACAAACTTTAAACAGAATGAAGTCGGACTTCATTTGACTTAGTTTTCAATTTAAAAGCTTTTAGCGGGTTCATACTGTTTACCGATGTAAAGAGACACAAGAGGTGTTGAATGTGTACTTGATATTCACAGGTGAGGCAGTTGGTGCGATGTCGCCCTCTGGTGTTGGTGAGAGAAAATTCATTGACAAAATGTGGACTGCAAAGCATATTTTCATTTTACACATGTACATGGGCAAATTGTTTAATAGATCTAGTGTTAAACGATTAAGAAAACTCGTAAAATTCATAACAGTAATAATACAATTCTTTTCGTTGGATTCTAAGGCTGAAAGGCATGGTCCTATTTTTGTTATTAAAACTGTAGTTACTCGTAGTGGTAGACAAACCAAACCACGTGATATTTTAGACTTATAACTTAAAACTGTATAGTGTATACTTAGTCTTTAGCTCATGTTTATTGTGTTTTAGAAACATCAAAATGTATATATCATGTCTATGTATTTTATTATCATATCTTACTTTGTTTTATATATCTTTCTGTATTGTATTGTAAATATGTTGTGCTCACATATCCCTGAAGGGGGTCGATAGAGTCAAATAAATATTATCTTATTATATCTTACATGCTATATCAGGTGTCGACTCTCTTATTTATTTTATCAATCCGTTTTATTTTTGTTGGTGTTAAAGGAAGATATGCTTACTTTTTGTAATGTAGCACGTGATTTCGTAATGTCTTTTGTAAAGATGCATAAATTGAAAACTTGGTAATGGTAGAATGGTAATGTATTTACCGCGCCTCCATCTTCAGCATTATTTATAATCGAATCTAACCTCTTGCACGAGCCAAAGAATAAAATGTTGAAAGTGCATAATATCACATTATCTTTACTGTTTAAACAACACAAAACAAAAATAAAAAATTGAATTGCTTATTCTAGTTTCCAGTTTATTGAGCTTTGTTTGATTAATTCATATTCCACGAAATTAGCCGAGATTATGACAAATTATCATCACCTCACTATATTTTGTTTGTTCTATCATTCTGAACTTTGTCTCCCGAATTCAAAGGACACTTTTCTACATGGTTTTGCCTTCAAATACACAAGAAAATTGATCTCTAGCTAGTTCACGGTCGTTATTTTAGGGACTGTTCGACAACTAAATGGACATAACTTTTACAATAAAGGAAGTCCGAGTTATTCATTATCGTGCCTGTTTCTCGATCGTAGTCAGGGACGTATGTTTTTGCTTTCCTAAAATATACATAATCTTTATTAATTGATGATCGGACTTAAAACTTATTATATCCTTCAAGTTTCTGGTGAGAAATTATCTTGTAACTTTCGTTTTGCTACACACAATACGGGACATGCCTGTGAAAGACTATAACTATTTTTTAAATGCATGTTTTCGATATCGAAAACTATACGTGCACGATCGGTTTAGTCCACCACTTAGACGATAATGGTACACCGTCATGAAAAAGAAGTGAAGCTGGTCCAGTTCCTTCAACAATTATCATAAGGAACGGGTACTTCATTTTATCTTTGGGAGAGGAAATTCCATACATTAAGCAAATTAGACGGTTCTATGGCAAATGGCTTGCTTCACACCTCCATTGCATGACGTCATAGGGTCTCTCATACGACAATATTTCCAAATGGAAGTTTTTATTTTTGAAAAATCTGCTTCCATACCAGCCAACGACTTCACTACCCACATCACTTGCAAGACTGATAATATATGGCCCAACGATGTACGACACATGCTCCAGCAACAATGCTCCGAGGTTAATTTCCATCATTAATCGAACTCCTGACTTTAACCTGTAAAATTAACATTAAACCTTATCTAAAACCCTAAACCTAATCTAAACCCCAGACAATCCAAACCCTAACCCCATAAAATTGACAAAATAAAGCCCGTGTTGCGTTTGTCACCGGAGCTGCATATTTAGTATGTCGGATCACCGAACCGAAAGCACCGAGAAACGAGTACCACTCTGGTTGCTAAGGGGAGCGCGACGCTTGTCGTACCGCCCCCTTGTTCGGAGCAACGTGCATTAGCGTGGCCGTGTCAATTTTGTGTGAAGCAGAGTCGGCTGTCATATAATACCATGAAGATGGACTTGCTTGACCTGCAGATTAGGAGAACATTCCATCTTATTGAGTCAATGTCAATCCGTATTATCATTAGTCAAGGCTGGATGAGAAAAGTGCATGACCCTTTCCACGGTATTGGCAAAGTAAAGTTTCGAGTTTCACCTATATATCAAACCACAACCACTCATTATATTTAGTATAGGCCTACTTGTTCGACTTATGTAAAAAAAAACAGATGAACAAGTATTTCCAGTTGTATTTTCTTTACATTGGCAATAAGCAATACACTTACTAAGGTTGCATAATACTAAGAAATATACTATCTTCTTATAAAATTGAGTCTGGTGTTGGTATATAAAAATGTCTCTCTCGAACAGACTTTTTGTTTAAATCCATTCTCAAATCATAGAGATTAAAGTCATACGTTTATGGGGGGAAAGGCTATAGGGGATCTCGTACCAAGATTCCGGGGGTGTTGATCAAATAATAAAAACACAATAAAACTAGAAGCACAATGACATATGGGTACAGTCTATATTGTTAGATTCCTTGAAACGCGCTCATGTTGTTCATTTGGTCATTTCCCTGTCCGTACCATTATTATAACCCCCTTAACATGCATAGTTCTATCATCGATGAATGACAAAAGAAATAAATATTTTATCGAGGGGTCAGGTTCTGCACTATCACGTTCGATAAGATAAAAAATATATTTTGTCATTAAAAACCACATGAATAGTTCGCATTTTTTTCTACTGTAGACTCACTTATTATGCTAAGGGTAAATCTTTGATTTGAAGCTATCAAACGGCAATAAATAAACTTGTTTACTATTAATTGACTATTTTATTCACTTTCGATTGTGACCTTAAAACGATTTTACTGCGGTGGATACAACCACATTCTCAATGCCAGCCACGTAATGAGGTCCATGTTGTATTCAATCAAGCATTAATTTCATTGTATCTCTCGGTAAAGCATACAAGAAAATGGCCAAGCTGAAAGTAATTAGCAAAGAGAGACTTCGATCACTAATTAAGGGTTGATTTTGCAAATAAGCATAGAGGTATTGGCTGTTTACCAAAGGCCTATCAAAGAATCATCATTAAATAGGGCACCATCATGAATAAATGGGATGAGGTGTTCTTTTAGTACAGATAATTCTGTAACATTGATTATGCATGACATGTGCCGATATAAGCGCTATATCAATGAAATGATTACTAATTTCGTTTTTTAAAGTTATTACTCTATCATTAGTGGTGGAGATCGAAATATAACGTTGAAAAAAAGGAGCAAATTCCGAACTATATATTTGAATCATCTCAAATTAAATATAATTTATTTCTTGAAAACCATTTTCATTATACACGCTTTTTGTTTCCTCAAATTTCCAACCCCTTCCGTTATGATCGCTGATCTATTATTTAAACCAAATTTCATCCTTTTTCACTCTGATGACATGCACGTTCGAGCCAAGAAAGTAAATGAAAAGGTCTTGATCCACTTTGATCTGGGGCTATTAACAAGTCAGACAAGGACTGTATACCAGTACCACCACAACCACACTAATTGCGGTTATATCTTCTCCCATCCAAAATCAATATCGTTCATGTTTTGTATGTTGCAGTATAAGACTCTATAAGGTAAAGGATTGTTTTGTTTGAGGCCGCTGTGGCAAATTGCCCTGAGGCGCTCATAAATAGTTGAAGTGACGGGATCGATAGTTAGATAAAACGAGAAAGGTGGAAGCTTGTATTGTTTCGGTGCTAAGGAACATTTTAAATACATGTTTTTATTGATTAGAATGCCGGGAGAATGAGAACGTGCTGGAAAGATGTGACGAAAACAAGTAGAGAAATGAGTTGGTGGAGGAAATAGACTAACATGGTAACGAAGGATGCGATCATGCGAACATACTCTAATGAGAAGGCCCCGAATAAAAGGATGACAGACATGATAGAGAAAAGCGATGGAATCGCACTCCCATACCAAGAAACGGAGAGACGCAATTTGCAAAAAGACAAAGAGAAAATAATCATCAGGAGCGGTTCTAGAAGAATAACTGTCGGGGGAGCTTGTGTTGAGGCGTAAAATAATGGCGGAATGCCCCCCCCCAAAAAAAGAAACACACACTCAACAACAACAACAAACAAACAAACAAAAAGACCCCCCCCCCAAAAAAAAAAAAAAAAAAAAAAAAAAAAAAAAACTAAACAAAAGGAAAAAATATTGTTTCGTGTTTTTGTGATGACTAATCATCACAAAAACACGAAACAAAACACACAAAAAGTATGGGAATTAATCAGGATAATATGAAGTTGATAAATTCTGATGATACATCACGTATAAGAGGTTTTCATGGCATAGGATCATTGTGGGAAAGCTAGGACGGTATCATTATTATAAAGTTTTATATAATTATAATGATAAATATCTAAAATCTAAAAATATGAAGGACCTTTATAATATAGTTCGATCCAGCATGTTGAAGAGGTGGTCATTCCTCGGCCCTTTTAAATGGTGATTTAACATTTTAGTTTTTAGAGTAAATTTGTTTATCTAACCTAACATTCTTCTGTTTTCATCTATCAGAAATATAAACGCAATAGTAATGCAAAACATATCGTTTTTGTTATTCTAAATTAAGAGCAAAGTGTATCTTTTTGTTCAAAGATTTCGTCAAACGAGAAAAAAAAAGATCGTTGGCATGGAGACAACCCGAATGTAAACATGTAGTCCTCTTATCTGTGTTTAATTAGTGACGCTCGTTATCAGATTTCTTGCAGGAGACATGTAGGAAATATTTGCCAACCAGATCTCAAAGATTAAATAACTTAACAATCAATTGTTTCCATTTTAAAACGGGGTCATAATACAGAGGATGAATTCAGCTTACAAATTACTTATGTTCAAATCCTGATTCCTCTCTATGCTATAATCATAATTTTACATTGCACGTTTCTTGTAATCTGTATTTCATGCAGTATAGAACCGGCTTGCCTTCAACTGAAATGGACGTTAAAATAATATTTCACCAAAATCATTGCTAAGTTTTGGAACAGAAATTAACGGAAATGAATAGAATTGAAGAAAACTACACATTCCAGTGGGCTTTCACGAATTGCCTTGAATTGTATTTAGTGTCTCAACGAAATAAGGGATTAAGTGGAGTTTAAGAATATACATAAAAGAATCGGATCGGGTTAAACTTACATCCTAGATTAAAGAAGGAAGAATGCAGACAGTATATAACAGGAAGAACGTTGTTAACGCATAAAGACAAGGAGCATATAAAAATACTTCGTAGACTTGGAAAAGAAAAAGAGCACGATTTGGACGATATTTGTGAATAGAGAGAGAAAAGGGAACAAACATCTAATCCTAAAAGTACACTAAAAGTACATAAAAGATTCACAGAAGATCCTACATTGGAGTGTTCTTGAGAATTGTCCCATTTATTGATACAAGAGAATTGAGAAGCCATACTTATGAATAGAGAGTGGATCTGGTGTTGGGCGACAGCGAGCTCGAGTCATTCAGTGAATCGGATTTAAAATAGGAGAGAGTATTGTGAGAATATAAAAGGGATGGCCCTGGAAACCATATAAAATAGACAAAAAGAGTAAATAGAAACCTTGTGAATCTTTTCTGTAATTGTTAGACTTAAAGCCCACGTGGTGTTCATAACTCCCTTACTATTCATGATACTAATATACCACATTCTTCGTCTCTTAACCATGAACACCTGTTGAAGATTATGTGAAACTTATCAATGCTGATACCAAACATTTAATACAAAAAATAAAAAATTAATTGAGCCGCCATCCTAGTCAAACATCGCTTATGATTGCGGTCTCCTGCACCTTTTTTTAACAGATAGTTCGGATAATACTTCAAATTTATGATAATATGTCATGGAAATATTACTTCGTTGTTATTATGTACATATATTATGTTTCTAAAAACATTTGGACAGAATTATGTTGTATTATACCTTACATTTATATGTTCTTTGTTATTCAGTTATATCATATTTGGAAAAATGCAGAAATAAAAGTTTAAACAAATATATATATATATATATATAATTATGTTTGTAAAGATCTTAACTTACCCCTTTCAAATGTGCATTTGGGGAAGTGATAATAGATGGAATATTCAACGTTTGAATAATTCCATGTCGAAACAGAAAATGATATGTCTTGAGTCTAATTAGAGCACTTTGATTAACACAATACACTTCGGGATTCTATACGCCAACGTATATCTCGGCTAATCATTTTATCAACTGATATATAAATCAGTACTAATACTAGCCAAGCCTAATCTAAAGCTTCTACCCCTTTTTTAATTCGACGTTTAGTCAATTTGTCTTACAATCTCAAAATTCCGGCTTCTTTTTACATTTTGTAAGCCTTTCTTTTGCATAATGTTGTTGTTTGTAACATCGAACGACGAATATTGATTGCACAATCAACGAAGGTAGCCTATGACACAGACAAAGAAGCAGCCCCCTTTTCCCTATAATGATAGCGTTATATTTAAAAGTTAAAAGGTGATCTGTTATGTCTATGACAAATGTTTGAAAAATTGAATTAAGGGCGGATTTATAATTAACACATGCACGTGAAATGTACACCCTTTCATAACATTTCATATATTTTACGCCCAAATACAATCATGCGTTTACAAAATACACTAATACATCAGTCACATCAAGAGAAAAAACAACCAATTCTTGGCAAATTGGGGTATGATAAAGTTATGAGATGTTCTGTCTTTTGTCGGTCCGTTGTCCCTCTGATGTTGGTCTTATGTCGGTCTCGTTGGTGACACTAAGGCATCACAAAACGACAAAAGTCAAACAAGAACAAAATTCTCTTTTAACATGTGTAAAAGATTATCTTTTAATTGGATGAGTTGTTAAATCGCTTTCAACCAGTTGGAAAATATAGTGAGGCAGAATTACACAACTTTGATATTATTTGCCTCCCTGTTATCATGATTTTATAGTTCAATGATAATGTTGAATTGGACTCATGGGCTTATACTTCACCCCCTGGGATCTCCTGATAATGTCCATTGTTCAATTTGAAATATGAACCCGACGGGGGGTAAATGTTTTATTTCATTATCAGTGTTTGTTAAAGGTAGATACGCTCTTTTCGTTTTTCAATAACACTAAGTCATATTTTGGTAGTTATCTTGCATATAACAGTCTGACAGTAATTTTATTTTTTTCACGCTTGTAAAATGTATTTGCTTATCATAACTTATGATACATAATTGAAATGTCAATCTATCTATTCATGAAAATAATAAATCTGCTGTATTAATTATTAATCATACTGCGTTACCGTCTTTATTTTATGGTTCAGAATTAGACATTATAGTAAAGTTTTCCTATAATCTCCATCCAGCCTGGATAATATCTTGAGTTCACCGTTATGCTTGATTGTATTATTATTCCTAAGAATAAAATCTTTATTAAAGAACAACGCGAACAACTCATGCCAAAAAGCATGAAAATGGGATGTAAGACATTATTATATGCTACGTGTTTTTTTAATATTTTTTAGCAATAATAACGGTTGTAACACTCTGATATGAAAATTGAAATTATGGAATTTACTCTAATTGCTTACAAGTAAGAACATAAAATCAAAATAATTGCCTTTTTTTCTTCTTTTTAGAATTTGATGACGCGAAAATGATTTACTTTGCAAAGGGAAGAATGAGATTCTTTTTTAAATTGTTTACAAGGATACCATTTTAGATATAATTTTGCGCTTTTATGTCCTTATAATCGAGACAAGGTGACATATCGAGGAATATATTTTCTTTAGATTCAGTCCCTGCAGTATTTATAACAGATGGAAGTTATCACTTTTTCAACATACGGATAGGTTTTGTAACCCTTGATCTTGTCCCGTCTGTTGTATATTAAAAACATAGGCGGGTACTATATCACGTCTGGATGATAAGATTACACATTAATGTTCTTGTCATGACACGTAACACCTGTATCAATGTTTTAATGGGTTTTTTATCAGCATGAATTATCGGACAATGAGGAGACATGAGAACATTATCTTATGTTGACATCACCATGTTCATTTATATAAATGATTCCATGTTAATACAAAATAAAATACTATATAATACTTAGTAAGAACTTTTAATCTTATAAAATAGCATTGTCGTTTAAAAATGTGTTCATCATTGTGCTCCCGTACTTAATTAAAGATATTTGAAATAATACTCCCATCATTATAGCATTCGAATTCTTTACAACTCCATAATTACATTATGCAGCAATTTTTGTAACATGTATACATTTCTATTTTATTGTAAAGTTAGTGTTCAATATATCACAAATGTGATGTTCCATGTACTCTCTTACCATTCAACGTGTGATTTTACCCTGGCAATGTATCCAGAGAAGAAAAAAACCTTCACATTATAACATTCTGAAAACCTATTCCGACGCAGAATTATTTGTGAAATAGATAAAAAAAATATTGATCATATTCATGTTTCAATGTTTCCATCATTGTCCGTGATGGTATGAGCATTATTAAAAACTGCCTTTCCAGTAAAATAACTTACTAGGCTATATAATGATTTTGATTTTGTTTTTCTTTAATGCAGGAATTGAAATTGATGCAATCTTTTAATTAAATTTCAATATTGGGGTAAGATTCAGAAAATACTTTTAAATGTATATTACCTTTTCAAAAATGTTTTTAAAAAGATTGAATGTATACTCCATGAGGATGATCTGCATATCATAGATTCCCTTTTGTTCCCTAGATCATATACTTCTTTACTTAATCATTTAGAAGAATAGCAAATAGGATGAGAGAATGTAAAAACTCATTGAATATAAAAATGATAAAAGAAATGGTAACTTACGGATTTAGTTCTTGGAAAAGTCCCGCTCCTTTTTCTACGCTCTTTCCTATTTCTCTTCGCCTCAAGGTAACCGCCTTTGAGTGAAGTTACAGGACCAGTTCTTGTAAAGTCAGGTCGAGCTGGTAGAGGAGCGTGAGGCAATCTCCACTCCTCGGGGTACTGGGGCCAGTTGCCCTCGGCAAGTCGTGCTCTGGCCCTAGCAATGGCCTTTTGGTAAGTGTTGTCCAGCCAGGAAGATTTGACTCGTCGAGTCAAAAAATGAATAGGCTGCTTCTGTCCGGCTCTATGAGTTCTTGCATCTTGGACCTGGTCGTCTTCTTTGAAGGAAACGACCAAGGGATTCCGACGGTCGACGTCCAACTCCACGCCGTCGCCGGCATCATCCTCGATCCCATGATCGTGGACGTTATCAGCAAGCACTGCATTCTCGTCCAAGGTGATTACTGTCCCATCATCTCGCGTGATTAACTTGAGGACGCTCTTGTTCTTGGACGCTCTGGATGTTACAGAGGTGATCTCTGATGATGCCGCCGCAACAGGGTCCACAGAGCTGTAGTCGTCCGCTGAAAACCCGCTGTCACTCTCATAGTATCGGTCATGGTAGGCCACGGGGTGTTTCAGCGAAGGGTTGAGCAACTCCATGTCTCTTCTCAACGAAAACTTCCACAAAATTTTCCTTCTGGTAATACTACATTGCTTCGCTTCTTACCCATTCTCCATAGTAAATATGATTTTCTGTTCGAAATATCCGACTATGTTTCTTACATTATCCTCTAAACTCTACTTTGCGCTTGTCAGTGAACAGTTTGCAAGCAATTCGTAATAACACACTGTATTTGTCCCCATGGAAGCTTTTCACAATGGGCCTCCTAATCGTCATAGGCCGATTGACATACTCGATTGAATACCCGGTACTCAATTGTCTCCCTTTGCTTACGTATGTTATCATCGATCTTTGGCCGGACCCTTTACTGTAGCTCGGAGCCCGTGAAGTGGCAGACTGGTGATCTATCACTTCTCAGGATACTTAATTGTGCGAACATCTCTCTCCGGACACTTGTCTCTTGTAACATTTTAAAACCGTTCGTTATCTTTCCCCAAATCTGATATTCATATATTTCCAACATATATATTTTATAACTTTATTAGCAACTTTCTCCAAATCCGAAATGCCTCTTTCTTTCTATGCCATATCTTAATCATTACTGCGAATGAGCACAATCCCTATACATGTAGTTCATAGGAGGATCATCGTTTTCATGTTAACCGTCGCAAATCTGTCTATACAAGAATCATTGTCATGGTGACAAGATATGGGTAGCCCACCACATACATATTTATCTCATCTGGGCTGAGTATAATTCTGTCAAATTACCAATAATGTTAATGCATGGAATTTGAACCTGCATAGGCCTACCTTATTATTCACAGTCCAATAACTTATCCGCTGGACGCCAACACCCCTGGTAAATCTCTCTCTCTCTCTCTCTCTCTCTTTCTTTCTATATCTTTCTCTCTCCCTTTCAGTCTTTCCCTATAACTTGTTTTTCTCTACTAAGCAACAAACTTGATCTCTAAGTTTCACATCACAACCCTCTCTTCTTCTTCTTCTTAGTAGTAGTAATGTTATTTATATCATTATTGTTATCATTATTATTATTTATTTGATTGTTATTAATATATAATTTCAATATTTATCATTATCATATAATTAATGTTGTTGTTCTTGTTGTTTTCATTATGATTATCATCATTATTCTTATTATCATTTTTATTATTATTATCATTATCATTATCATTATTATTATTATCATCTTCATTGATATTACTATATCATTATTGTTGTTTTTATTGTTGTTGTTATTCCTCGTCTAATTCCCTTGTGTTTAGTGTGGATCCGGAAATAGAGGGACATGATATCATGGGGTGCCCCAGACATGATTGAGTAGTTGGAGGGTCAAATGGAAGGATGTGGGAAAAGATTGTATTACCTTCTTTGTCATTTTCCCTCTCTCTTTTTTTCTTTCTTTCCCCTTCTCCCCCCCCCCCCCCCCCCTCTTCTTCTTCTTCTTCTTCTTCTTGTTTTATCTTCTCTTTTTTTTTCTCTCTTTTTTTTTCTTCTCTTTTTATCTCTAGTATTCGTCATTAGTTGTTTTTTTTTTTTTTTTTAAGGGAAAACGTGCCCCAATGCCACCGCAACAACGCTTAACAAATGTTTGGCTCCCTACTCTCCCCACCTTTTAAATGAAAAAAAAAATTGTAGATAACGAGCTTACAACTGTAAAGGATTTTAAGTCTCAAATATATTCAGGGTGGCCCATAATGGAATAAAATTCTATTATTTTGATAAGGGAATTCTTTCCCTAAATAACCGTTGGTGTGTTTTTTGTATTTTTTCTTCTTTATCTCCTTATACTTCGAGTTCATTCATTTCCCTTAAAGGTAAACGTTGGGTCCTCATCCAGGCAAATACCTCAGTGATATCCGTCAATCTTCTTTAAAAAATGAGGACATGTTGTGTATCATGAACAGTCAACGCTTTGCATAAATGCATAGGAATCGTTGCTCATTATCTCGGGATAGCCTACCGCAGTATCTACACTGTTGCCCATAAGGTTGAAACATTCTTTTATTACCTCATTTCGTGAAATGATTGTGACAAAGGTTTGTGCTTGATAGATAAAGTTTATATATTCTTAGAACTCTAATGATCACGCCCTGTGACTTTGTAGAGGTGTACTGTATATATCCAGAATAGATCATATTGTCACAATGACACAGAGGCGGCGCTCCCGGGGAATAGGGGGCACAGTGCCCCCGCTTTTCAGAAACCTTCAAAGTGCCCCCTTTTAAATAGGAAAGGTTCCCCTTTAACTTTGTAAGAAGTGCCCCTTTTTTACTTTGACAAGTGCCCCCATTACTTTGTAAAAGTGCCCCCATTACTTTGTAAAAGTGCCCCTTCCCCTTTTCACCACTGATAACTGCCCCTTTTATTTTGACACGTGCCCCTTTTCATTCGACAAGTTTCCCATGTTTCTTTGCAGTAAGTGTCCATTTTCCATTCTCATAACTGCCCTTTTTTTTGAATATCTAGTAAGTGCCTTTTTTCAGGTTCGAGAAGTGCCATGTCACCTTTGATAATTGCCCTATTCAAATCTGAGAAGTGCCCCTTTTACTTTGACAAGTGCCCTTTTTCCTTTTGTAAGAAGTGCTCCTCCCCGTTTTAATAACTTCACATTTTTACTCAGATGAGCGCACCTTTAATTTTCACACGTGCCCCTTCTCCTTTCTAATAAGTGCCCTTTTCCGGGGTTCCTTTCTAATAAATGTCCCTTTTAACCTATGAAAAATGCCCCTTCACATTCTGATAAGTGCTCTTTGCGTCTCTGATGAGTGCCTCTGTTCACCTCTAATGACTGCCCCTTTAATCTTGACACATACACCATTTCCTTTTTAATATATGCTCTATAACCTCCTCAAAGTGCCTCTTAATTTTCACACGTGCACCTTTTATTTTCACACGTGCCACTTCCCCCTTTTCTCATAAAAGCTTCCGTTCACCTACGATAAATGCCCCTATTAAAATCTAATAGATGCCCCCTTTTCTTTCAAAAAATGCAAATTTTCCTTTATTATAAAAGCCCATTTGTCATTCTCATAAGTGCCCCTCAGTGGCGGATCCAGGGGGGGGGGGCCCGGGGGGCCCGGCCCCCCCCCCCCCTTGAGAAAAAAAATCATGTAAAATCACGCGATTTTTACCTTTTTGGGGGGTTGGGCCCCCCCCCCCCCCTGGCGCTCAAGGGGGGGGGTGCAAATTTTAAAATTATCGAGGACCAAAAAAAAAAAAAATGTGCTCACTACCCCCCCCCCCCCCCTTACAATTTTACAAATCCAACTGCAAGATTTCCCTCTGTAGGTGCCCTTTTTTTCCCAGAAAGTGCCCCTTTTTGTTTGTGCCCCTCCCCCCCCCCCCCCAACCTTCGAAGTCGCTCCGCCGCCCCTGCAATAAGAAAATACTCAAAACTTTATGGATTTACAAAACAGTGTGTTCAGTTAGCACTGAATGTTTTGTCAACGTTTAGGTGACCTAGTGCCTGCATCTGCATGCTAATGACAGCAGATCCAAATCCGCGAATTTATGTTTTGCGAGGTCTTTTGAAAAGAAGTGATACATTTCGGTTTTGATTAATATTGGATGAACTGATTAGCCTAATACTGGTATCATGGGAAGCAAAGAAAAGGTTAGTAGCTGAGCAAGTATTGATGTATTCTCATTATGCCGTTCAACTTAAAGAACGTCTTTATTCTTTATTTGTTAATCAATTGCTTCGTAATGAAGAATTCTCGTAGTGTACGGACAGTGGTCATTTGCGCCCTGAGGTTGATGCCTTCCGCACTCTTGGAGAGTCGGTAGATCTCTGTCCTCCAAGTCCAATCATATTTCAAGTTTTGCATAAATCGAAAGTTGTTGTATTCATAGATCTATATCTGATGTTTCGTTCATTCTTTTTTTATATTTTTACTTCCTCTCATCTAAACATTATGTAGAAATATTGTAGGTCTATAACTAAAGCGTTTTATTCTGAATAAAAACATTGTAAACACTAAACAATGTAGATAATGATGATCGTGATTGATGATATAAAAAATGTCTAATAATTTTGTGTTATTGTTATCAAATAAATTACTTTCTAGTTACTAGAGATGTGCGCATGCGTCCCTGAATGAGGCCATGCATGACATTGCACGATTAGAACCATGGCTAAGCAAACCGTCGCGTTGTGCGTCTGGCTTCACGGGGAAGGTTGAGTGGCTGACAATCGGGTTTTTATTAAAGACCAATTTTCAATCTTTTCTGCTGCCAACAGATAATGGCACTGAGCACTCACATCCATGGGGGACCCGGTAGACTGCATCTCCTCCCACTGGTTCAAGAGTAAAGTGTTAAATGTTGGGCTTTGTTAGATCTGGCTTTGTTTTTAGTAGGCCCTAGGCCTAGACCTTTTAAAACCCACTGTTAACATGGTTAATATTTCAGCACTTGGTACTCACGCAGCAGTGTGATAATACATACCAGTTACCACCTATTAATGGAATGTACTTACACCGGAAGAAGAAGAAGCAGCATCAATTACAATTCCTGTCCCACAAACCCACAGCAAACAGATTGTACATGTGTAACTGAATAAATCCTGTCTCTCTTAATGTCTTTCAGGAAGCCATTGTAATTGTTCTAGATGTGGGTCCATCTATGAACCAAGCTCCTCCTGGTAACTGTACGACCCTTGAGACGGCACGGGATGTCATCACCATGATTCTACAGAGGAAGGTAAATAAGCAGTGTGTTCGAAGATAAATGTTCTGGTGCTAAGCCTTGTAAGCCATTATTATGGGGAAAAGAAACCCTGTGCAGTGTGCACATTTTGAATATCTGAGTTCGACAGAAATAGATCAAAATTTTGCAACAATTGTTTAGTTATTAATACATATTTCTTTGTTACTCCAAGGTGATACAAGCACAAAGATTGACAAGAGAAAGAAGTATATTTTTGATGCCAAGGGGACATAGAAAGCAAATAAAAACAAATGCAAGTTGTGATAGATTTCCTCATCATATTCCAACCAAGTCTTAATATGTTTAATAGTCTTGATGATTTTTATTTCACTTTTAAAAAATCATTTTCAAATGCATTTTACGATAGATTCATTAGCATAAGTTCCAACCGCTATGAATATATTATGAATAGTGCCATTAACCAAGACATTAAAAACATAATTATCAGTTCATGCCAAGTAACACTAATTTTTGTTTCACTTTGCCGTAGGTGTTTGCCGAGTCTAAAGACGAGATTGCCCTAATCCTCTTTGGCACTCCTGGATCAGCGAACAAAATGGACTATGATAACATCACGGTGGAAAGGCCCTTCAGATTGGCTGATCTTGATCTTATTCAACACATCAGGAGCAACATCCAAGCAAGCACAGAGTCAGGAGACTGTATCCTTTTATTTAATAATTTATAATTTCATTATACATACAGTGTAGGTGGTTGATTAATTTTTTTGCATCAACTACAGAGACTGTTTACAAACAAGGTGAGTTGCATTATATTCAGAATTTTTTGTCAACCCCATAGTCTAGCTGTACTCAGATAGATTGTTATTTATGTAATTTCATAACAAAAATGTCTAAAAGCAACAAGAAGACAAAAATTGATGTTGGCTGGAAAAAAAAGGAAGGGAGGAGGGGGACGAGAAACTAGAAATTTTATAAATGTAATGCTTCCTGGGAGAAATTTCAATTATTCAAACATATTTGTGGCTTATACACCCAGTAAATAAGATCGATTGATCGATCTGTATTGAAAAACAAGTCAGAAAAAATCTTGGAACCAGCGGGACTTGAACCTGCCATCTACTGCTTGCCGGGCAGCAACTCTACCACCAGGCCATCACTTTTTTTTTCTTTTTTTTCAATCGATCTTATTTTCTGGGTGTATAAGCCATAAATATGTTTGAATAATTGAAATTTCTCCCAGGAAGCATTACATTTATAAAGTTATTGTCCTATGGCGGACTAATGAATATTAATGAGTCAGAATGAATCAGGAGAGCTTGGGTATTTGTTTCTAGTTCATCGTGACTGTGCCATGGACCAGTGATGGCCTGGTGGTAGAGTCGCTGCCCGGCAAGCAGTAGATGGCAGGTTCAAGTCCCGCTGGTTCCAAGATTTTTTCTGACTTGTTTTTCAATACAGATCGATCAATCAATCTTATTTACTGGGTGTATAAGCCACAAATGTTTGAATAATTGAAATTTCTCCCAGGAAGCATTACATTTATAAAGTTATTGTCCTATGGCGGACTAATGAATATTAATGAGTCAGAATGAATCAGGAGAGCTTGGGTATTTGTTTCTAGTTCATCGTGACTGTGCCATGGACCAGTGATGGCCTAGTGGTAGAGTCGCTGCCCGGCAAGCAGTAGATGGCAGGTTCAAGTCCCGCTGGTTCCAAGATTTTTTCTAACATGTTTTTCAATACAGATCGATCAATCGATCTTATTTACTGGATGTATAAGCCACAAATATGTTTGAATAATTGAAATTTCTCCCAGGAAGCATTACATTTATAAAGTTATTGTCCTATGGCGGACTAATGAATATTAATGAGTCAGAATGAATCAGGAGAGCTTGGGTATTTGTTTCTAGTTCATCGTGACTGTGCCATGGACCAGTGATGGCCTGGTGGTAGAGTCGCTGCCCGGCAAGCAGTAGATGGCAGGTCCCGCTGGTTCCAAGATTTTTTCTGACTTGTTTTTCAATACAGATCGAGCAATCAATCTTATTTACTGGGTGTATAAGCCACAAATATGTTTGAATAAAACTAGAAATTATATTTATTTGGTCTAAAAGTGAAGTGGGTCTAACTTTATAGTCCAGTGAATTATGGAGCGCCAATTGTCAAGCTTTTTATTGCGTACAAATCATAAGATTCTGTAACAAAATAATAAACAAAAAATAATCTAGTCATGATCCTTGACTTATATTCCTTTTGAAATACCAGTTGTTGATGCTCTTATCGTTGCCATGGACCTGATCCACGATGCTACTTCCGAGAAGGCGTCAAAGTTCACGAAGAATCGCATCATTCTCTTCTCTGATCTGGGAGGAGAGTTTGCAGACGACAAGCTTCAGAATGTGACCCATAGCCTCAAAGCCATGAAGACGGAAGTTAACATGATGTAAGCTCTCAGCTCTTACTTCAGCAAAAATATAAATGTTCTAAGCATATGACAATTTTCATTCAATGTTTCTCCAGAAGTAGACTCATTTAACTTTTCTTCCTTATTTCAGACTGCATATTATATCATAAATACATTAAACCATAGCTCCAGTAAAATATGCTCAAAATTAGTATTGGTGTAAAAAAAAAAAATTATATATATTTTTTGTTCATTGTAAAATGACAAGTTGATAAAAAGGGATAATCTATGTTACTGTAGTAAGTTGACCAATGTGGAAAGAGTCAAATGATGTTGAGTTAAAAAAACAAAAGCACACTGTCTGAAGATCATTATGCCTACAGCACAGGTTCAAAAATGAAATCTACTAGTACGTATATATACAGTCAAACCTGCATTAGCGACCACCTGTTTAGAAAGAAATCCTGTCTTCAGAGACCACATTTGTTGTTTCCCTTGAAAATGGTTTCTCATTGAAACATGAACTAAAGGAACTTTTACATAAAGACAACCTGTGTACAAAGACCACTTTTCTTGTCTCCCGTGGGTGGTCTTTATAGACAGGTTTCACTGTATATGTAAAGAGGCTTCTTGTCCACATTCTTACTACAATTTTAAGATATCTGGGTACTTAGATCAAATTCATTCAACCTATTCTCTAATTTGCAGAGGACTTCCATTTGACAACACAGACGGAGGTGGTGATGGCGATGATGCCCGTGATCAGCCGTCCACCAGCCGAGGTCGTGGGCCGCCACGAAAGGTGAAGACCCCACAACAGATGGCTGGAGAGAGGCTGGTTATGAACATTGTGGAAGAAGTGAACGGATGCATCTATTCATTCGAGTGAGTCTTTTGATACTCATTGAATCCATTCTTGTTTCCAAAGAATGCATTTTATCAACAGAAAGGGTTAACTGGAATATTGAGCATGGTTCCATAGATTGAATGTTCATAGTTTCACAATCAAAAAGATTGTTTTACCTGTGAGACTTTTGCCTTATCACCACTGCAGGCATCATCAGACTGACGTTCCATGGCTGACATCAAAAGAATCATTTTCTTTGAAAATTGTATAGGTCCAAGCTGTAATAGGGTTATTAGATACTGAATCTTTGGTTTTGTTTTCAATATATGTTACAAAGTACTTTGCCCGTAAACACTACCCTTTGAAATTGATATACCGGTTGATGACTAAATGCTTCTAGTGCAGTAGATTCAAAGATACAAGTAATTTGTAAATTGTTTTATTTTGCTCGAGTTGATAGAAGCAAGTATATCATTGCTCAAAGTCGTGTATGTGACGCTTGAAATGACTATGTTTGGTTGTTTACAGCGAGGTGATCCCAGCAGTGACCATGTTTGAGAAGAGGGCAGTCAGACCTACGCCATGGAAGGTCAATCTAGAGATTGGATCAGAACTCAAAATACCAGTCTCAGGGTATCTCAAGGTATGATTTATATTTATCTTCTTAATAACCCCCTTCTCTGTGGTGTGGGCATAAAATAGCCCCCCCCCCCCCCTCCATGAATTAAATATAATATCATAGTTAAATAATGGACACAAAATTAGAGTAAAGAAGTGTTTTTTTCCTACTTAAAACTAACAGATATAGACATTAGAGCGCCGTAATGGCAGCACAGCTTAAGCCGGGGAAATAATCTCTCAAGTTTGGAAGCGCTTAGTGATTGTAATAAGCGCCATATTAAAACTGAGTATTAATATTATTATTATTATTATTATTATTATTATTATTATTATGAAGTTGGTTCTTATGGAAGATACCTAATGACCAATGGAACAATAGATTAGGTATTTAAATTGAAATTGAATAATCACTTAAAGCTGCTAGGGTATTCTTGTTTTACTTACCATCATTATATGAAATTGTGACAAATTCCATTTCTTTGTCTTTATATTTCATAAGGATTCATGTTTAGGATTAGGGTACGGGTTAGGACAAGGCTTTGGGTAAGGCATTAGGGTAACATGGTTCAGGTAAGGGTTATGCTAATCCATTACCCTGATGATGCAGATGTTATTAGTTGGTATAGGACAAATCATGCTTCGGGCCAGTGATGTGTGGGCCCAATTATTTATGGGACCAGTGGTGTCTAAAGATCATCTAAGATAGTGACAATCATCTTTAATGAGTAGCATTATTTGGCAGTTATCATGTAAGAGGGCACTTGCTTGTAATATGCCCCAGTGCCATTGATTAGGAGAGTTTGGCCAACCCGGTTCGAGTTGGACACAATATGGCGACTACTGCTTTGTTGAGCAAGCACAAAACAAAAGAATATACGCCATGTTCTGACCCAGTGAAACCAAGTTGGCCAAACTCTGTGTATAGATGGTATGCCCTGTATGGCAGATGACATCTGTTTATCATCCATGAATAAAATTAAATTAAAAATCCTCTTGATATGTCTATGATGAATGGTAGTCCTGATGTGAGAGAGCTCTATTATTCAGTGTTCATATCAAGAAATTGTTCATTTTTGGGTGAAGTATATGGGGATAAGTCATATGTTGTATGGGACTCATTGTACAGAATCTCCTAATAGAGATAGAGGTAGTTGTCCTCATTGTTGCTGCCTCAGAGATGATAGCATAATTAATGCGCCTCAGAATAGAATTTCTAGATAGACGGCACTATAGAAATGCCTATAATTATTAATTATCAATTAGCATAGGCATACGGTAGTTGGCCAGATTTATGGATATGACACCCATCTGTGTTGCTGAAGGAAATACCCTTTTGTTCCCCATATGACTAGGTGAAAGAAGCCACCGCTAAAAGCTGGAAGTCCACCTTCCAGAAAGGTCACAGGGAGTTCACCCCTCAGACTATCCGCTCTAAGCATCTCAACGATGACGAAGAAACAGAAGTAGAAAAGGAGGACCAGGTGGAAGGTGAGATCGATGAGCAAAAGAAAATGATTTATTACTTATAATAATAAGCCGAATGTATGGTTTTAATTGTAAGTTGTAGGAGGCTGACAGCTTGTAGTCCTATTAGAGGGACTAGGTCATATTTAATGGTAGAAGTGTTGTAGTAGTAGTTGAGTGGCTTAAGCACTTGACTTGAAATTCGTAAGGTCGTGGTTCGATCCCCAATACGGCACTTTTGTCCTTTGGCAAGGCATTTATCTTCATTTGCCACACTCGACCCAGGTGAGGTAAAACGGGTACCTGGCAGGAATTAATTCCTTGAAATGCTGGAGCGCTGTAATGGCAGCTAAAGCCGGGTAATAATAAATGCGCCTCGGAATAGAATTTCTAGATAGACGGCGCTATAGAAGTGCCTATAATTATCATTATTATTAATTATTAAGTGAATAAATCAGATGCCATTCGAAAGAAAATGCGCTTTGGAATTCCCATGCCACAATCTTTGATTTTATTTATGTAGGAAACATTAATTAAACATCTCCTTCCAACCTTAAAACAAAAAAATGAACATTGATTCATCAAATTATTAAAAAAAGGTCCATAAATAGAACTTAGATATGATAGTAATGTACATTGATATAGTGCTCAATACTCATTGTTTCTTAGCGTGTTATGCAGTGCACATATCATACGTTAATGATCAAATAGTGATCAACCTAATTTCATGCATTTTCGTTGAATGCAACCCTCACTTTTAATCATATGTTGACAGGATGGGGTTGTATTTTTCAAATTATTACAGGTGCTCAAAAGTACATTTTTTTTGTTATAAATTTTGTTGAATGTAGAAATGAGCATTACTTGTCACAAAAAATGCTTATTGTCATTTTTAGATTTAAATGTTCTTTAACTTTCATAGAATTGGAAAATAAAATATGACACAACTGACTTTTCCATCCTGCATCTTCTATATTCAGGTTATCGCTATGGTAACGACATCATCCCAATCTCAGAGGAGGATAAGAAAAACATGGATTACAAGAAACCTGGCAAAGTGATGCAAGTCCTTGGATTCACTAAAGATAGCAAAGTAAGCTATTAGAGAATAATTTGTATCTGATAACGATTAAAGGGAGTGTGACATGACGGACGACGCGACCGTAGCATTCGCGTGCGTGCAACATATGTTAAACCGAAGCGTGAGGAGAACTTCGGTCTGTTTTGCCAACGCTAGCGCGTGCTGACCCAGTTAATCAAGTCCATTCGTTTATGTGCAGTTGTCCAAAAGAAGACGTAGACGGCGTTAACCAGTATTTCCCATGATGCACTCCCTTTAAATGATGAAATTTAAAGGTAGTGCATAACTTTTGTTGAATTTGAAAGGTTGACCATGGTTTTCCTTAATTTTCAACTTGTGGATACACCTACATGCTTGAAGATAGAACATGATCCCTAAAGTGTTTGCTCTTGAAAATTCACATTTTGTAAAATGATGTTTACAGATGATTTTGATGATTTGTTTTTTACAATGAATATACTCATTAAATACAAAAAATAGTCTGTTAAATGTTACTACATGTACCTGATGTTTTATAGTATTCAAATATATATGCACTGTAAGCATTTTATATACCGGTACTTTGTTTATTTAGTACCGGTATTTAAAACAAGTTTATTGTTACATAATTCTTTCCTAAATACTGACTTAAATTTATTTGATATACCGGTAAATAAGATTTGTTGATGCTTAGAGTAATATTAAAGCTGTTTGAATTCACATGGCAAAAATAAAATATGTTTGAAGTGTACATTAACATTAGTCACTGAGCATCTAAAAGGCCTAGTAGTGTAATATGCACATTTGTTCTCCTTTTCACCAGATCAAAAAGCACCAGCAAATAGGCAACAGCGTGTACATCTTCTACGCCCAACCAGACGACCAGGCAGCGGCGATGTCTTTCTCGGCTCTCGTCAATGCTCTTTACGAGACCAACTCGGTGGCCATCGTTCGGAGAGCCTACTCGGGTAGTAGCGCCCCAAGGATTGGCTTCTTGGCCCCACACATCAAAGCTAATTATGAGGTGAGAGGGTATAATAATAATAATAATAATAATATTCTGTATTTATATAGCGCACATAACATCGATCCAATGATGTGCCTAAGTGGTTTACAGATACATTATTACCCTGGTCATCGGATTCAGGCTTACAGGGTAATGATGACCCCTTCATGTCATCAGCGACAAATCGGTACCTAGAGTTTGAGTGTTCAATAGTGCGTAGAGATGTAATGGTGGCTTTGTTTTTTGTGTGAAACAGGGACAGGTACACTCATTGTGAAGTTGTTTCCTGTGTAATACATTTTATTCCCAATTTAACAATGACACCACTTTTAAAAGTCTGAACATAACACTTGAATGGCTGCTGCATAAGTACTTGACGTCACAGAAGGTGTCAAAGTTCCCCTTGCCTTGGATAAAAAAAATCATGCCCAAGAATAATAATAATAATAATAATAGCTCGTTCTTATATAGCGAATTGGCATATTCTACGTAATGTTTGAGCGATTGATGATTGATTGATTGATGATTTGTTTTATCAAACTACTATTAAACCATGAATGGCTCCTGGCTGGACTGCTTCCCAGGGAGTGGAGCATGTGTATATGTTGTGTGTGGACAATCCTGAATCTGATGACCTGAGTAATAATATCTGTAAAGCACTTGGAGACATTTTCAATGTATTCAGCGCTATAAAAACCCAGAATACTATTTCACATATGATTGTTATTATTATTGTTAGGCTTGAAGGTAAACAAAGTGATGGACATATTGCTTTCGGTGCTATCCAAGGGACATTGGGATCAGAGCGTTAAAACTTACGGGCACTAGAACATAAATACAGTTGAAACCTTTGATTTCTGTTCAATTGAAATCAAAAATCAATCTTTTCAGGCGCTCTTCTACATTGAGCTTCCCTTTGCTGAAGATCTCCGGATGTATACCTTCATGTCATTAGACAACAACAAGAGATGCCAGCCATCAGGTTAGTCACATTTACAATCAACTGCAATGGCTTCATGTATGGCACATACATGTATCCACCACTAATTATTGGTGCTCCTATATTACCCTGGCTTTAGCGAGGGTACCGACTGCTGATGCGAAGACTTTTTTGACCTTCATTTCATTAGAAAATCTTGTTGGAACACTGATGAAAGTATTTTGGACAAGTGCATATTTTTTTTTTACTAACTATGAATTCCAATAGTCATTGTGTGGAATAAAACTATGATTTTGTTACATCCCAACCCCTACTTCATTTCAAGTTAGTTTCTAACATGTAAAAGTATTTGTATTTTTGTAATGTGTACAATGCCTTCTTTTAGTTAATTTGCCACTGGATTTGATTAGTTTCCTTTGGTAAGTCAGTAAGAATGTAAATATAATAGAGACTCAAGAAATAAACCCTAGATATTTTATATTTTAGGGGAAAAAAAACAAAAAAAACTTCCTCTTCATGATATAATGAACTGTGCCTATCATTGAGACAATTTACCATATTTGGTACCAGTATTATAAAAGTTTATTTGTGGTGTTGATATATATTAAATGTATATTGATCACTTTTTTTTAATCTTGCAGAGGAACAACTCGCAGCAGTTGATAGTCTCATTGACAACATGGATTTGATGACAGCAGAAGAGTAAGTCTTTGTATTTTATAATTTTATCATCATTATTCTCCTACTCGGGAGTAACGACTTCAAAATTCTAAAATCAAATTGGAATTGTAGTTTTTTTAATTCTCTGACTTAACCTGATAACTTCTGGTGGGTAATTTTATAAGTTTTCAATATTAATATAAAATTTTGAATAACTTGTACATACATGTTGTTCCACTTTTCTCAAACACATCATCTACATATCAAAGATGAAATCAGATTTTAATCTGAAATGACAGCCACTTGTTGTCATCAATTTTCTATGGAAATAAGCTGACTTCAGGATTATACACAAGTTGAAAATAGTTCAATGAGCATCTAGATTTCCCTCATAATCACACATTTCTTGACATACTATTTTTGAGGGCATTTATTATCATCTTTAGGGACATTTCTTATGCCACTTCGTATATATATTGTTTTTCAATTGATGATTTCATCTTTTATACCACTTGTTCCTTTACCTCACTGACAGAGATGAAGACGGAGATACAGAGGCCCTGAAACCAAAGAACACCTTAAACCCATACACTCAAAGACTATGTCAGGTGAGATCTGGCTGGACGTATTGTCCTGTCTCATATTGTGCATTTAATTAGATGTAAACTTCTCAATCGATATCTGTACATCTGAGTGATCCTTTTCCAGATGTGCAAGAAATCATACCTGAGCACATCCAAGCAACCTTTTTGTGTACAATACTAACAACATCTGAGGTTTTGAATATGTCTGATGATTGTATTCAATTTTAATTGCCCTTTTAGAACTCGGATGAGAAAAAATTCTGAAGCGAAATTAAACATTTAATGTCAATTTATGTGTTAATCTCCACATAATGGGTTAAGTATTGGACACCTACATGACCCAATACATTGGGCTTACCTATACAGTGTACAAATAGATTTGTGTTCAAATAATGCCTGAGCATTTATGATTTTGCAGTTGAAGGGCATTTTATCAAGAGCGGAGGCCTGCAAGTTTATTTTGTTAACTATTCTGACGATGCATTATTACTTTGCAATTGCAGTGCCTAATGCATCGCGCATTGAACCCAGATGACCCCATACCTGGCATTGAAACAGCGATAGCCACCTACCTACAACCTTGCAGGGCTGTAGCTGTCCAGTGCGAACCTGACGTAGAGGCGATGCAGAAGCTCTTCAAGCTGGAGAAGGCCAAAGCCAAGGAAAATGTCACAGGAGACAGCATATGGAAAGCCAGGTACAATAATGATAAAATAATAAGAATATTATTAATGATAGTGGGTTCTTGTTTAGCACTCCTGCCTAGCACATTGCTACTTTTGGCACTCCATTATTATCATCCCGGTTTTAGCACAGCTGCCATTGCAGTGCTCAAGAATTTTTAGGGAATTCATTCCTGCCAGGTACTGATGTACCTCACCTGGGTTGAGTGTTGCAAATATAGATTAATGTTCTGCTCAAGGACATTAGTGCTGTGACAGGGATTTGAACCTTTACCTCGTGGTTCACAGTCGAGGATCTGATCTACTGGACCACAATAACTTTAAAAGAGATCTTTGTGGGTTAGGAAAGATGTTGATTTTGATTTAATTTTTGTAGGCTGTAAATATCCCCTGTCTTTGACACTAAGCGTTTGAATCATGATATTTGATAAGCTGGCCAGAATCAAGTTTTGATTCTCATCTCCTTGTTTCATTGTTAAATTGGGCATGAGATACATATGGTCTGCTCAGAGCCAAGCGGATATTAACTTGTATCATTAAAAAAAAAATAACACCCTTCTTGTTCAGAAAAGACCACATATATCCTCATTAAAGTAGACGTTACAATGCAAGTACCCCATTATTCATGTGTGTAACAGAAGAAAATGAATCTGTTATAAATTCAAACATGTAAAATATTCAGATACTTTGCTTTTGTTACACATAGCATGTAAAGGTTTAGTAGATAAGACAGTTTAATAGCTTTATTACAAAGAATATTTTGTTAGCAATGAGTAAGTCTTTTTTTTTTCAACCAAGTTTTCCCTGTACCTTATACAAAGCCCAATTCCTATGTCTTTTCTCAACCTAGTGATGGGGGTGATGGGGAACCAGCGCGTAAGAAGGCAAAGGTCGATGATGAGGTCAACGGAGGTGATCTCAGTATGGCTGGAATGGCAATAGGGGTTGTCACAGAGGTATGTAATGGTGATGATGGCGATGATGATCGTGGTGATGATGGCGATGATGATGGTGGTGATGGTATTGGTGGTGGCGATGATAATGGTGATACGAATGAAGGTGATGATGATGATGGTAGTGGTGGTGGTAGTGGTGGTGGTGGTGGTGGTGGTGGCGATGATAATGGTGATACGAATGATGATGATGATGATGACTATGATGATGGTGGTGGCGGCGGCGGTGGTGGTGGTGGTTGTGGTGGTGGTGGTGGTGGTGGTGATGGTGATGAAGATGATGATGATGATGATGCTGATGATGATGATGATGATGATGCTATGAATGGTGATTATGGGGGTGGTGGTGGCATTAGGGACGATAATGAGGATGAAGCTGATGATGATGGTAATGATAAATAACCAACTATATATAACCGACTTACTCAACATTACCTGTAATATTATTACATAAGGCTGAAAATGTTGATGAGATTATCATATATTCCTGTCCTTGCACTTGATTTAATTTCTGTAGTATTGATTTAAACGATTCCTTAATTTTATTCATTTTTTTAATGAATATTTGTTTATCCTCTAGGTCGGTACAGTTGATCCAGTTGGAGATTTCAAGGCCATTATCTCACAGAAAGATGAAGATAGATTCAAGGAAGGTGAGATATACCCTCCTTTGATAAGATTTTCACAAATAACTTGCATTGTTACCAATTTTGACCAAGTGTGCAAAACAAAAAGATAAAGATAAAATGTGCAAAATAACAAAAAAAAATCAACAGAGCAATTTTACCATCATGTATTTTTATCCAAGGTTTGATGAAGTTTTGTGTACAGTTCAACCAGCAGAAAGAAGGTAATTTTAGAATGTCAAGAATTGATTATCAATGATCCTTTAACTGCAGAAACAATATATATCATAGATAATGCATACATCAAGAATATCATGCACAGTGTAGTGAAGATGACCAAAATAGAGCCATTTCCACTATTTCTCTTACTCTTTGATAATATTCCCACTGAATTTCTAAGTCAAGAAAGTTGTTGGTTTGTAGAATGTGTTCATACAGGTCATGCAGTATATAAATGTGAGGGTTGTTTGTCCTTTCAGCTGCTGGTCAGATGGGAAAGAGGATCCTACAGCTGGTCAAGGAATCCTTTGGATCCCAGCTCTACGGTAAAGCCTTGGACTGTCTCAGGGTCTACAGGGAACAAGCAATACAGGTAACGTTCTCAGCAACATATGTTGGGCTTTTGATAAGGCCTAAAAAAAAAATAGGTTGTATTGCCCTTCAGGTGCCAAAACATGGGTCGGTCGGTCAAAAATCTTTCTTTCTTTTTTTTCTCCCACTTTGGGCTGATATTTCTCAGTTTTGAATGCTTTGATATCTTTTTTCTCTAAAAATCAGTAAAAAAAAATTAAAATTAAAAGCTGACCGTTGATTTCATGATATTTGGGTCGGTCTCAAAGGGTAATACAACATATTTTTTTAAAGGCCTATGTGGGTGTACGTTTGATCATGATATGTGTCCTGAAATTGATATAGTTTGCAAAATAATGATAATTTTATTAAAGATGTTTATATCTGCATTTATTTCGATTATCAAAATTGTTATGAACATGTGAAAAGATTATTGACGAATCACAACTTGAGCACTTATTTCCTGCTTACCTGTAGTAGAATTAGGGCAGTGTTTTCAATAGAAGATGTTGCATGGATATTACTATTTAACTTGTCAAATTTCATTTCTCTTCAGCTGAGCGAACCAGAAACATTCAATGCTTATCTGAGGAAACTGAAGGATGAACTGAAAGAACTCTTGAAAGTAGATTTCTGGCAAGATGTAACAAAAGGTAAGATTACAGATATTGGTTGTTTGTTACAATGATATCTTAAAAAGCAAAGGAGCAAGTAATATCGAAAATGATTACCGGTACCTGCATTGATGTGAAGTATGATACTTACTTGGTATACTTGGGTGTAGAGACTGGTATCTTAGCTTATTTGTCCCTCTTTACTGTTGCATCCCGTCTCAAGTATGGTTCAAACTTAATTGGATCGTTTCTCCAATACCTTTCTAGGGATGACTTGAATTGGTTAATGGTGGTAGCATTGACTACTTCCTTTGGCAGGGCATTCCAATTCTTTACACTTTGTAAATGATCTTTGTCGTTCTTCAATATTAGTCAGGTTTCATGAACTCTCCTGATGATTTCATGAGATCTATGTAGGCACCATCATAATCTGTCGCTGATATCTTATTGGCTCTGAAACTATCGTCAGACTTTTCAGTTCTAGAACCATTGTCTTGGTATTGGACCCGGAAGTGCCTTTGCCAAATATACCCAGGACCAGTGCTGTCCTCTACGGTCGAATACCGTAGTGGTGATAACAAGAATGATTTTCCATGAATAGCCAAGATATCGGTCAGTTTCGAGTAGGTTTGTCAGTGTGACATGACCTTGATGTTCCTGCATAGAAGATGTAATGCGTTCATTGTAGCAGTAATGATTGATTAGCCTTCATTCAATGTTTCTTCTAACAGATGGTCTCACACTGATCGATGTTACAGAAGCAAGGGACAGCAAAGTATCTAAAGATGAAGCTGACAAGGTATGCTTTAAAGGCATCGTTTAACAATGTTAAATCTGAGATGCATGGCCCTTCGTGTTATCAGTGTCTGTGATTTGGTGTAATATTGAAGCCCTAAAAAATTGCGCTTCAAAATGATCATTGAGTGCCTCAAAAAAGTAAAAATCTTTGAGTGACCGGTTTTACCATACTCATTTTCCCCAATATACTGTAGTGTTATGAGAACCGTTAGGAAAACGCAAAATGAAATTTTGAATTTCAATCATAAATATCTTGATAATCAGACAGGTGATCGGCTTGTAAAAGTCATGGGATTCCTGAATGACCTAAAGGTTTATAATTATCATTGCAGCATGAGCTAAATCAAGGATTTTGTTTAAGGATCTGAGACAAATTTACTGGATCCCTTTAATGATTTCCACCTGTCATAAGATGCAGAAGTTCTATGATTTTAATTTTCATAATGGGTTTGTTTAGGTTGGTCCCGTAATGATTGACATACAATTCATGACCTCAACCATGTAAGATGATGTACAGAAAGAACTGCAGTACACTTTGGAGATGGAGCATTCTGTTAGATCTTTGATCTTATTTAATCTTGTTCAATCTTATTTAATCTCGTTCAATCTTATTTAATCTTGTTCAATCTTATTTAATCTCGTTCAATCTTATCTAGATCCTCCAAACTCTAATTGCATTGTCATCTTTTCAAGGGAGTCTCTCGTACTATTTCAAATTCTGATACTTGGAAGATGCTTTTAATATGATGTTCCATGTTCTTTGTATAGTTTATTCAGGAGGAGGAAGTTCCAATGGAAGACGAGCCAGCTGCAGCCAATGAGGAAGAAGATGCTGATGATTTGGTGAGTGTACTAACTATCAGTGTTCTAACCCCCTTTATTTTCTTCATATTGTTGCCATGAAATGTAGAATAATTTCTGCTTGGAACCAGAGGGGTATCTAGTAAGATTAAAATAAACCAATTTTCACTAACAACAGACAATGTAGTTGACTACATGGATTAGCTCAGTCTTTTATAAGGAGGCAATATGAATACTTTTGTTTTTTAACTGCTTGTACTTGTATTTGTAGTAATTTTGACCTCTTATTTTTGCCATATTGAAGGTACCAACACGATACCCACTATAAAAAAATATATAATTTTTTTTTTCAGTGAATATTATTTAATGAGAGAATTTAATTTTTTTAACAACTTAGAAAATTATTATAGAACACAAATTAACCTTTGAATGTTGTAAAAAGAAACATTTTCAAGGAATGATATTCCAGACAGATTAGCTGCTTAATCTTTACATATGCCCTTAGATTAAAAAACAAATATTCTGGTCATCTCTCCCTCCCCTCCAAAATGAAATGAATTGTAGTTATTATAATGATAAGGAGGAGTAAGAAAATAATTAAATATACCTTTTTCTTTGCATTGGCATGATTAGCCCTGTACTCTGTCTTCATTGATGCAGGAATACATTTTTGAAACAGAAAATTATTAATTAATCTATTTTTCTCATATTCTTCTGCAGCTGGATATGTTGTAAAGTTCTGAACCCCGTCAAAACTCACATCAAAACCAGGTGAAGTTAACTCCTTCATCGTCCAATGTGCTCAACTCAACTCTTCAACAGTTGGCCTTGTAATGTATGGTTGTTCCTTCACACAGACAATGATCTCCAAAAGATGAGCATTCTTCCCTTAATTTAACTGAAATTATGTACAGATAAAGCAATTTTTTCATGTCCGTTGGTCATTCTTCTCCATCGATTACCTCAAGCAGAAGCCTGTTGCATATTAAGACATGCATTGCAAGTTTGTATGCACAGTTGCAAATATTCAAAAAAATTATTCAGAAGTAGAATATTTTCTACATTTTTTTATTTTTTTTACTGTAGTAGTTGAAATTAATCATGATCATTATTATTGTTATAGTTCTTTTTTTAACTTTGAAAAATCTTTCGATTTTATAATTTCTTGATGCTGTCCATTTATAATTACATGCAAACTGTAGAGAAACAGTACCTTTTTTTAAAAGTAGTGAGCTGTTATTAATGCAATATTCTGGAAATTGAAATGTATTTATATTGTTAATAATACTTGCCCAGCCTTCGTAGCCATGATTTAAGTGTAGAATGATTTTTGTTGGACCAAAAATTCCACATAGGTATACACTATTCGGGACATTATGTATGGTAATCCTACTCTAAACTTACAGAGAAATATATTCATTTAAAGAATAAGAACCAAGAGTTTGGAAAGGCTAGAGGTGTTGGAGATCTGATACAGGGAATAAGTAATATTTTGGCTCAATTCAGACACATAAATCACTAATATTTTATCAACTTGCTAAGCTGACCTAGCTGCAAATATGTGAGCCAAAAGCTGCAGGGCAATTACATATAAACATCCTAGTCATTATATCGAATTATTATACAAGTAGAGCATGATTGTCAGTTGGTAATGCCTTAGAATTGTACATAAACTGGAAGACATCTTACTTCTGAGTATAGACATATCCATTTGCCATAGGATGGGATTTCTTCTAATATTACCTTTAACATTCCATTCAAAGGTTGTAAAAGAAATGCATATCATAGCATTGTAGAACATCATTTATCTACAAAATGCTAATGTATGCCTGATTACTAAAGCTATAGACAATTATTCATTTTGATAAGGTGTCCCTATCACTTATGTCAGTTTTGTTTGTTTATGTTAGCTGGTTATTCAAATCCTTTTGAAATATTGTAAGAATCAATCAGTTTTGTGCTTTCATTTTAGGTCATATAATCTAATCATTAATGTCACAAGATATGTATTGAGATGAATAGTAGTTTTCATCTTAACTGTTTAATTTGTTTTTTCTAAATTCCTGGTGAAGTTCCCTTAGATCCCAAATTGTTTGAGCTATTCCTATAGGATGTGCGTGTAATCCTTCTGTTATTGGCCAGGAGATCCTGCTCTTTGAATAAGCTAAAATTCCTGTCTCACAAGAGTCACAAATGATCATTCACCTAAGCTAGAAGATAATGATAGAGCCGCTAATGGTGTTCTTTATTGTCTTTAATAGTGATTAGGAGATGATCAGCTTACCAAGATCCTGTTACTAATCACACAGATTTTAGGGCTCAAAGCTATTGAAGCCAAGACTTAAAGAGGAGAAACTCTTTTTGTCTTGCTTCAAAGAGGCAGATTATCTGTCTTCATTATTGTTGAAGGTGCAAGATGATTAAATGAAGCAGTAACCAGCATGTATGATCAAATTCAGTATTTAATATGAAGTTAATACTGGAAAATGTGAAAGTCTAGAAGTCTTAGATTGTCCCAAGAAGCAGTTAAATGGAAATTAATGGATACAAAGCAGGAAAGTATTATTCCATGTCCTGAAATATAGGTTCTTTCCTAATTACTTCCATTTAAACTGCTCTCATTGGAGGGTACCTTCTGAAGCAAAGTTGCAAACTGTTAACTCCTGAAATGAACTTACTGTTGAATTCCAAACACTTTCACAATCTGTAACGGCACATCAGATTTGATCAGTCATGCATAAACCTTGCTCTTTTGAATAATTAATGCATCAGAGAAGATTTCATTCCATTTCACTTTGCTTTTTAATAGGAATTTATCTTGAGTTATTTTTTGCTTTGTGAAATAAACGATTTTGTTATAATATAGAAATCAGATTGTAATGTATCCTCCTTACAAATGCTATTACATCTTTCTTATCTTCCATACATGCCTTATATTAAGGTTTGCTAGAAAACATCATGGCAGTACTAGCTTACATGTGTAGGGAAAGAAACTATATCTTGAGTACAACTCGTGTATCTGTAGAAAATAATTATTTTCAGCTTCGCTAATTGCTTATGAAACCAGGAGGTCTTTTTATTTGTAAATGATTTGTAATCAATACTCTTTGAGGAAGGAACAAAGTTTCTCTCTTATTAAAGATGTAATTATTCTTGCTGTAATTAAGGTATGTAACGAAGAATGTTACATAATGGGATTTATGCCATGTTCTCTGATGTACATCTATAAGTCCGATTTTCATCTCGCAGCAGGCTAATGTGTGCACTGCTTCCTGACATAGGCCTATTTGAAGAAAAAAAAAACATATCTTGATGTCAAATATGATTAATAAGGAACCAACTTTTAACTAAACTTGATAGCAGAAAAGTAGGTCCAAAAATTTGGCAATACACATACACGAATTGTTAGATTTAATTTGCAATATTTTAGGTGATCAATAAGCACTGTAGACTATCTTGCACCAGATTTTCGCTCAATTTGTGACAGCATTTTAAGTTGGTCATCTTGAGAATGGAGGGAAAGGTTAGTGTTGATTTTTATCATCAGATCATGAGTTCTCTGATATGATCAGTTCAGGTGACATGTATTTGCACACACTATTCACCCCCAAACTTTCGTGAAGCAAATGCAAACATTTATCAAAGATAATTGCAATGCAATAAAATATTGATGTCATAATTTGTTCTCAAAATTGCATCAAAAAATAAGCAACTGACATGATTATATTCATGCCAATTTATGTTGTCTATTTTAAAGCAGAGCTTTCTAGCACATGTATGTCATTATATAATGTTCACACACTATTTGGGCATGATATCTATAGTAATCAACATTGTATTCGTTTTTGTATTTGAAAAACAAGTCTTTTTTTTATGTATGCCCAACATGTCATTTAATGATTTCCAGTAGGTTTTTTTTGTTGCTATAAGCTACCTTTAAAAGGTAGAGAGAATAAAGAATTTCTTTAGGAAATAGATTTTTAAAAGCTTATTTTGAGTTCTTGCTTTTATTGTTGTTTTGGTTTTAAACTTATTCTCAATAAATATAAATGTATATTACGCAAACAAAACAGTGTTTATAAAACATGACGCTCAACTTACGTTGCTTTGTCTTTTTCAAATATTTCTAATCTTACCCCTAAATTTCTACGTATCTTGTGAAATGTTGAAAACTTTGCCACATAATTTTATTGAAACCCTTACGATAAACACATTAAATAAGATATAAGTATGGATATAATTGACATTAAGCCAACACAAACTTGGGTAGAAATCATACCTCCTGCCGTAGGTCATTGATTGGTATCCCCTTTCTTCTCTCTTTCTAGTTTTCTTTGTTTCACTTTCTTCCCCTCTCTTTTCCTGTGTCAATTCTCTGAATCTATATACAGGGCCTTTTTTTAAATCTTTATCTGTACCCCCCCCCCCCCCCCCACAAAAAACCACCTCTCTCTCTCTCTCTCTCTCTCTCTCTCTCTCTCTATCTCTCTATCTCCCCACCCCTCACTCTTTCTGCAGGCAGAATTACTAATCTTAGCAAATGTGTTCCAGGGTTTTTATCCAAAATATCTTTCACTCTGCTATATTCAGAACAAAGTGATTTACCAAGTCCCACATGACAGATAATCCGTAATATAACCGCATTTCTCTTTCTCAGATCCCATAAAATTGGATTCCCTATCATGTGCTTTGTGAGCATTTCTTTTATCACCATCGTATTGTATTCTAATAGGCTGTATTGACGATAAAGCTTCGGCTAATAGGAGAAATCATGCCTTCTGTCTGCTTCAGATTTTTTTTTTGTCCCCATACAAGAAAAAAATTCTTAACAAATCGTGGGAGATTGTAATCATGGTTTACCGTATCTGAAACGCGTGTTAACAGTCCATGTAGTTGATAAGAAGTGGGAAATATATCATTTACCAAATATATCATTTTTAACATGGAGCCCGCGGGCCCTTTGCCCCCCCCCCCCCCCACACCACACACACACCCACCCCCAAACAACATCCGCCACTGTATAAAGTAAATGGAATTTTCATACGAGAGAGCTACATTGTAAAACGTGTGGGTTTAAAGAGTTGAATTGTGGACAGTGATTCCTGAATCCGCGTACAACAAACTGAGAACTCCCACCCGTAGAGAAAAAGAAGTAACTAGCCTATTCACAGAGAGCTACTAATCGGAGCCCTTAACCACTTTCTATTTTTCAGAGCTGAATAATAGGCTCTGTGATAATCTCTTGTACATTGTACATTTGTAATTGTTCCCCTATACATCATACCGGGAGGTCTTGGTTCATAGTATAGTGGTGTTGAGTCAGTCGAAAGCTATTCGGTGGTAAAGCGTGGGGGCCATTCTTTGAGGGGACACCCGGGGTCTTACTGCAGGGTGGTGCTTTTGAGAGGGATACAGGGGAGCTTGAGTCGTTTTCTTTTTACACCCCTTCATTTTGTTTTACTCTCGTTTATTTTTTTAAATTTCTATCATAATAATTAACCAACAAAAAGAAAATCGATGGAGGAGAGTTCCCTAGTGCCCCCATAGCTACGCCATTGTTTATGTCACTCACTTGACTCTCAACCCAATGGTTGAGTGTTCGAATCCCAGCCAGACACTAATGTCATTTGGCAAGACATTAATCCACATTTGCCACTCTCCACCCAGGTGTAAATGGGTACATGGCAATTGCTGGGGTAATAATATTGGCAGGGCCCTCAGGAATAACAACATTAGTGTTAATGAGGCTTCCCTAGTTAAACAAATCACTATCATTCTCATCGTCGCGAAACTATAATAGAGGTATGCCTATAAGAATACTCTCATGACAGATGAAGAAGACGTGTAGTTAATTTATGTGCGTGTGTGAGGAGAGTGGGATGGCGAAACTAAAACAACCCGTGTTCTCTTAGCTCGACTAACTGGCTCGAGTTTTATGAAGGAAATCATATCGAAATCTATACGCTTACATTTTGTTACTCATCTCTTTGCTTCTACCGAACCATGGGGTGGTGATATGAACGTTAAAAGACTACGTGACGCTCCAACATGAAAATAACGTACAAAAGCATATTTCAACAACGTGAAGCTATACACTGTGACAGAAAATTTGCTTTTGAATTGTTGTTCTTTTTTTTTGTTATTCTTGAGATCTTGATATAAAAATAGATCTTGATAAATAATCAGGAACACTGTAATCATCTGAGTATACGGTTTCCATATCCGTACTTACCTGGAACGAAGACCTACAAAGTAGAACAAAGCAGGTTTGTCAGGTATGAAACAGACTGGGCGCCGGGCGGGCAATATGGCGGAAGGTGCTCATTTTCGGAAGTTTCATAATTCCGAAGGTTCGTAATGCCGAAACATAAATTTACCATAACAAGGAGTTAATTATTACGAAAATGAAAAAGGGTTCATGATTCTGAAGATGAAAAAGGGGTCGGTATTTCGAAGGTTCGTAATTCCAAAAAAATAATAGCGCCTACAAACTTCTATGCATTTTCATAATTAGGGACCTTCAGAGTAATGAACCTGCGGGAAAAACAACATGAAACCAATGAATACATTATTCTAAATTGCTCATCACACTCTTCATGTGTGAATTTCCATTTTGAGGCTGTTAGAGGGTAAAGAAGATTTTAATCTTTTTCTCTTTGATTTGGCAAGTTTGCGTAATTTATGAAATTAATTGTAAGGATTTAACACACTCTCCGTTTAACTTCCCAGGTTGATTATAATGAGATGAATTATTTGGGATGGTTCAACGGTAATAGAGAGTCGGAAATACTTCAATTATGACAAATTACTAATTATCTTGAGGCTGCAGCGGTGTAGAGGTGGAATTATATTATGTACTTTCCAACACACAGAAGCATATTGCAGATCAACACATTGGTATTTACTTACAGAAAGCTAAGGTTGAAAAGGTCAAATCAAATGAGGATAACATATCTATATTCAGAAATATTTTGAAGTTTTAATCATCCAATATCTAATTGAATATTACATTTAATCAGTGCTTAATTATCAGAATTGCTATAATTATGTGGAACAGACATGTGTTCATATACATGTAGGTCTAAAATCTAAGACATGAAATGGATTTAAAATAAGCCTTCTGAAGTTCTAATTAAAGGGAAAGTCCACCCCCAAAATAAGTTTGTTTCGATAGAGGCAGAATAATAAGAAAATCAGGTGAGTGAAAGTTTGAGCAAATTCTGAATGAAAATAAGAAAGTTATGAATTATTGAAGTTGTGATCAATCAAATACAAATTGGCAACTCTGTGACTTATTATACGAGCTCTCCTTCATTTGCTTTGTGCATAATATTCCATAAAATCATGTTTTCTTCGTTATTGATGACGGAATATATATTTGTTCCTTGCAGGGGGAGCATAGAAACATATTTGCAATTATTATATTTAGGGTGCATGTATGGTTGAAATTTTTCTTGAGGGAAAATGAAAATTTTAGATTTTTTTAGTACTGAGCAAATGGAAGTTGAGCTCGCATGATACGTCATAGAGTTGCCAATTTGTGTTTGATTGATCACAACTTCAAAAATCCTAACTTCCTTATTTTTAATCGGAATTTGCTCAAACTTTCACTGACTTGTTTCTCTCATTTTTCTACTCCTATTAAAACTAACTTAATTTCAGGGTGGACTTTCCCTTTAAATGTAGACAAATGAAGAAAAAATGTATACAATGAAGAAAAAAATTTAAATGGATACTATACATGAAGAAGAAGAAGAAATGAAAAGGGGAATCAGAAACACTGAAGGAGGGTGGGAGAAGGAGAAGGCCCGACAACTCGTAGAAAACAATTAATGAACTATGTAAGACAATATCAAATGAAAATGTAAAAAATAGAGAAACAACAATATGAGACAATACCAAAAAAAGGACGAGAAGAAAGTATTTTTTAAATTAAAAAGTGTTTAATAATTATTTTCTATTTTTACAACTAGAAAATCTGAAACAAAGACGAGGGGGGAAGTCGAATAACAAGTTGCAATTCCAGTGTCTGTCCGGGAGAGCAAAAAAGCTTTCCTCTCCTTCACAGCTGTCATGGGCGATCGACTAGTAAAGTAGGGTGTGTCCCTGTCACATCGGGATTCATTAACCACAGTCTCGCTATGGTTGGAGGCTAGTATTCCATGTTAATAAACCACCTCCACACACACATTACAGTCGTCTTAATCATGATATATGATGTGAACATGAACAGGACAGATTTTCACAGGATATGGAGCATTATTTGAAGACATTTCACATTTTCTCGAATTTTTCTTTGAATCTGATTGTGATTTAAGTGTTAAAATAACTGTTGCAAACGGTCCTTTGATTGTAATGGTCTTAGTGCATAAAGTCATGCAGGTCTGTTCTACTTGGAAGCTAATAATCTGTTATTTGATGAGGAGCCAACATAATAATTACTTTGATGATGACATTAAACTTTATATCATGCTATGGAAACATGGACGTAATTAGTTGTAACTATAAGCAACTATAGGTTCTATGTTCATTTAGTCAAAACAATTAGAGTTGTAATTTACAGTTTTGCTAAGGCTCGTTGAGTTAATCAAACCGTATTCTTTAACAAAATTGATTAACCCAGAATTTATATGTGATTATTTTTTCATGCAGGATTTACTCAGAATGCACATCAACCAGTAGCCACTAAATAGATCACATTTACTAAACACACAGCAGAATTATTTAATCACATCCTCTTGCATCCATCGAGTATTAGAATAAATCACAACTCCCTCCAAACGTTGACACTAATAATGAATAATGGGCGTACAGACAGCACCACCAACAAAAGACAAGGGCGATGACACTCATTAGAGAGAGAGAAAAAAAGGAAAGGGAGAGAGGGGAGGGAGTGAGGGAGAGAGAGAGAGAGAGAGAGAGAGAGAGGGAGAGAGAGAGAGAGAGAGAGATAGAGAGAGAGAAGGGGAGAGAGTTAGGTAGTGAGGAA